CATCCACTGGTCTGGTTCAACTCCAGGAGGAGAAAGTTCACTGATACACATTACAAATGACTTTTTGGCTGCTGTTCACATCTTGATGGCTGGACTTAAACAAATAACATCCAGATTAATACTACTTTTCTGAAAAATGTGGCATAAGATCTAAAAGAAGCCGGTTTTGTATCTAAGCCAAAGTGGTGTATTTCTTCTCTTTGGTGCACATAAAATACAGATGTTGTGCTGCTTAGATGCTGATAAGTTCAGCCAAGACAAGAGAGATCTGCCGCTGCACTTCAAGGACAGTGTACACCAGGTATGATGTTACAGCAGTGCTGTGATTTCTTACCTTCAAGCAGGTTTGGTGACATATTAGAGCTGATATAAGGGCTGGAAAGCCACTGTGTAAAGTTATGGCCCAGTGTGAGAAGGTGGACGCCATATGTTTTGAGCGGTCTGCCAAGTGGAGGATATGTCACTTGCGCCTGGTTACACATCTAAAAACAAGAGTTATAGTTGCAGTCTTAAAGAGAGGAGGAGATGCACTCACCCTGCACAAACCGCCTGCAAATATAAACCGCAAAAAGTCTACGCTGAAAGCTGGAGTGGAGCCAGATCTGCAGGGGGAGCCTCCACTTTTCTCCTGACAGGCTGTCTTTATGCTGTCATATTCATGGTTGGGAGAATTTTCTACCCTCGGTTTACTTTAAGTCTGAAAGATTGCTCATGTCCAAAACGTTAAGCTCAGCTAGCCAAGGTTCAAAGAAGAGCATAAAAATGGATATTTAAGCAGATGATGCCTTTGTGAGCATTTAAACTGCCTTGTTGCAGCATTATTACAAGAGCCAGAGCTTCTTTTATTTTTTTACAAAAAAAAAAACAAAACATTTTTCACTTGAATTTATTTGAAACAGACACAGGAAAAATCTATCCAAGCATTTCTCATCTTGATATTTGAGGGGATTTTTTCTGGGTCATCACTGGTTCGGTAAACACCATGTGGTTTGAAGTTTTCCTGTTTTCCTGTTGTTATTTTTAGTCTAATTAAGTCTGCACACATTTTTAAGCTGTGCTGGATGTTGTAAGATAAATGGCTGAGCTTTTTTTACCAACCCATTTCTGCATGAGAAGTGCTAGTGAATTCGTTTTGGCATAAATTAGCTCCCCAGTTAATTACAGTACGTGAGTGATTAAAGACTTCCTCTGTGTTTGAACAGGCTGAACTGTTATCCCTCCTTACGTTACGTTCATAAGAAGGCCGACTCCCTGAGTTTGTGAAAGAAACTGTCCCTCTGGGTAATGCGCATCAGTGACTCATGTTTACTCTGCATCTTTACATAAGCCTGATCTCTCTGAGCTCAACAGGAATTTATTGGAAACACTGTTCTGCACCTAGTCAAAGCAGAGGCAGCATTCAAGACTTTTCATCAGCATTTTCTCCTCACATCTGTTGTTCTTGGATGTTCAAAGCATTGTTTTGTTCAGTCATATACTTCCAATGTGCATACCAGAGTGAAGGAGCTGACCTGCAGCCAACAGCTCGTGTGGGATGCCAAGTTGGAGGCAGATGAGAAATCTTCAGTTAAAGGCATCATGTTTTAATGAAGCACACAGACTCCAATGGAAGAGAGGAGTAAACACGGAAAAACGAAGTGCTCACTAACAAAACAATACAGGGTAATCAAGGGCTGTGCAAGATAGTAGTACTTTTCCTGTGTGGCATCCATAAAAAACAGCATTACAAATGCTTTAAAAGACAGATACAATACAATGCAAAAAAACTGCAAAGAAAAATGTCCCCCTCTTTTCACCTATGCAATTAACTAATCATAAAAATATGAAACAGAAACTGTGTGTTTGGACGCGTTTAAAGAAAAAAAAATCAAGAAAGGCTATGAGTTTGAAAAGGTGCTCAAAAACAGGCATTGTTGCAGAATGCTGGAGTTCCTCAGGGAGGTTAGCTGTGTCCCCTTTCTTTTTCAGCTTCAACATTAGGGCGACTGTGACTCATTAGTGGAGTCGGTCTTCTCCCCATCAGAAAGTCTGGAATTTAATCTGAGGTCTACGTACCAAAGTGTCCCTGGGCAAGACACTTGACCCCACCCACACCCATTGGCTGCGCCCAATAGTGTGTGAATAGGATTAATCAAAAAGTGATGATCTCTATACATGGCAGCCATCAGGGTGTGAATGTGGTGAAAATGTAAAAATGCTTTGAGTGGTAAGACTTAAGAAAGTGTAAATATGTATACCGTTTACCATTTAAGCCTTCTGGGGAGGGTTGGTAAGTTCCTGTGAGACTATCTTTGATTGACCTGGGGACGAGTCACAAAAGACTTAGTTAGTAAGTAATATCTTAAATTGATTATAAAAGCAAAAGGAAAGACAGTGTTGGTTAATTACAAATAGTATAACGTTTTCCCCTTTCTTAACATTAATTCAGAGTCTACCTGGATTAAGTCTCTTATTATTGATTTTTGTCTTAAACCTCCAACACAGAGATTCAGGAGAGATGTGATGGAAAAGGGTCTTCAGGAAATATCTCATAAACTGTGAAGTCCCCAGTAAGATAAATGCTTCTGGTAACAGCCAAACTTTTGAGGTTTCCTGCTCTCCAGGGGCCTTATTTATCAACCTTGCGTAGAAAAGGGTCTAAATTCTGGTGCGGGAATGAAATTTAGAATGTGCGTAAGTACAAAAAAATCTGTATTTATCAAACATGCGAACACCGGTCGTACACACACACGTAAGTAATCAGTGATGATAAATCCCACCTGTTCTTTACTACTGTGCTCGTGCATGGTTAGGGTCATTTGCATCCAGAAACACCTACAACTGACGATATATGGTATCGACAATCCCTTTAAAAAAGCGTGAATGAATTTCTTTCCACCTTGCTGAAATCATGGAGGTGCACACTCACAGAGCAGTTCTGCTGAATGAATGAGTCGTGTGTTCCTCCAGTCCACCAGGCAACAACGTTTAACAGAAACAAATCTGCATCGCAGATTATTTGTGTATTGATTGAATAAAATCCTTTCCTGTTGACAAAACTGAATTTACTGTGTGAAGGTGCTTTTATTGCGATGTGGGTGCAATCTATGGCTCAAATTATGTTCGGGAATCCTGCAATTGCGTGAAAGCCTCGTTTTATTTTATCTTATTGGTGATGTGTGTTTGGGAACTGGATGTAAATTGAGGCCAGAAAAATTATTGCATTCAACTCTGCCGACATGATTCTGCTTAGCGTTGTCTGCGAAATTCCGCATATGTCTCCAATCTCATGCTGAAATGTTCCGGTGGCCAAAAATCCCAAGGTGGACAGGAGCTGGATGTGCACTGGGATGGCTTTGGTGCGTTTTGTCTCTCACTCCAACACAGGTAGTAAATCACAGCGTTAATCCATTAAAATAGTTTGGGGAAGCGGTACTGCTGAGAAGCCACTCTATGTTCTCACTGAACAGATCAGCACAGGCTTTAAAAACGCGCTCCCTGCGGCGCATACGGTTCTCCAAGTCCTCCAATAGCGCAAAATAAGCCGTGATTCTTGTATCAGTACTTGTGAGACTTCTTTGAGGTTGTCCTGCCACAGCTGATTTTTATAGCTTGTCACACCAATCATTCAAAAATGTCTGCTAAATAACTAATCAGTTGAATTTTATACAGAGGCAACGGGGAACGTGTGTGAAGTTTGAGATTGCTGAATGCTGTGACTCCTTTGTTTGGTTCTATTTGTAGTTTCATTGTTCTACCACTAGATTTTGTGTGTACGCATGGTCAGAGTTGTGCTTAAATTTATGAACATTCCTAAGCACAAGTACAGGTTTATAAATTCCATACTTTGCACGGGAATGTTCGTATGCACTCACTAAGCACACATCTGTGCATAGGCACGGTTGATAAATGAGGCCCCTGGTGCAGAGTAAACATCAGTCAGAAATGACTAATAAACATGATGACATCCTTTTCAGCCTCAGCTGTACACAGTGTTTTATTCAGGCCTAGTTATCACATGGCTGACAACAGAGAGCATTATAAACATTACATATGAGAAATGTAAGCACATTACTTTATAAGCATCATCACTGTCAGCATCTTAGCATGTTGACATTAGCATTTAGCACAAGGTGCTGACGTGTCTAAGTAGTCACAGAGTCACCAGATGAGCAGTCCTGATGCTGTGTGTCAAACATTCCTGTTTACAAACATAAAACCCTTCCTGGCTGTGACATCTGTGGTCATTATTAAAACCATTGCTTAGTGAAATTAATGTGTTTGTGTTGGAAGAGCCTGTTAAAATCTGCCCTTGACGTGATTCAACAGATATCTCTTGATGTGTTTGGAAGTTTTACACTTTTATGAGGAGTAACTTTTTTTTTTCAACCAGGATTATTGCTTTTTTTTCCCCTTTAACTCCCACTCAACTATGCACCAGACCTCCAGAGGATCTTCTTAATTACATCTACCTTTCTGAGAGTAAACCATGACATTTCCTCTGAAATCTTTAATATCCTTCAGAAAGAAAAAAGTCACTTCTAAAGCAACAGAAGTGCAGAAGAATTCAGCTAACGGACCGTCTTCATGTGGCATTTTCACTAGATTTTCAAGCATTTTACATGACCCTTTTAGACCATTGACTGTATATAGTATGGTCAACGTGGCTGCATCCCCTCATTGTATGTATTTAAAGCCATTAGCTCCCTGTATTTCAGGGATTTTTCTGCATGTGAAAAAGAGGACATGTCAACATTGCAACTGGGGGGGGGTTATATTCAGTGTAATTAATGTCTAAAGTTTGTCCACAACTCCAACTGGAGGAGGCAGGGTCTATGACCTATACTGCACCCAGTCACCAGAGGGTGCTGTTCTTGTGTTGGCAAATGGCATCCATTCTATATTCAGTATATGGTTCAGGCACTGATGGCAGAGGCTGGTGTATAAAAAGATTTTCAGTATGACTGAATCAACCTGGGATTAAACCCCCAACCTGATCTGATTTAAAGGTGATCAGCTCATTACCACCCGACCCCCTTATTTGATAAAAACCAGACATCCAGGGTGGTTGTTGCTCTCAGCAGGTGCGCTGTCACACTCCAGTGCAGAGGTGGAAAAACCGTCAGTGATCTTCCCGTCTCTGTCTCCACATGGTCTACTTTCAGAGCATGCTCACCTCCAGACTCACCCTCAGCTCCCCTGCTGTCACGATGTGGGGAGGCAGCAGGTTGTAAAACATGTGACCCCTTAATACACATGACCCTGATGTACCTGGGAACCAGACACTGAGAGATGAAGAGGAACAACAGTAAAGACAGGCTGTATTTACACAGGAGACATTCAGAAAAGTGTGTCAAGTCTTTTGCTGCCACAGTCACTACAATGAAGTCCATATGTGATTTCATCACATGTTTAGGGGTGAAGAATTGTGAAAAATATAGAGAGAAAATAACTAAAAAACAAGAAGAGAGAGACATAAAACCATAATCTAATGTCAGGGTCTGAAACAAATGCTTTTTCTTTTAATTAATTTTAATTGCTATAACTAAGACAGCTTGTTTTATAACTGGGTCAACATATTAACACAAACTTTCTTTGACAGTAATTTTCAAAGAGAAACTTACTTAAATTTGGTCAGTTTGTTTGAGGACCCACAGCTAGATGATGGCCTTTAAGCCTCGCCCACAGGAAGAGGAAGCAGGTGAGGTCAACAAAGGTTGGACTTAACACCTCATAATGAAATTATGATCCCTTCTTTGACTTCTCCAATGTGTGTAAAACATTCTTGTGGATTTTAAAGTTGAGTCTTTTATCTTTTAATTTTTATGATACTATCATCAGAATTTGTGGAGCTAAAGACCCCAATCCACAGTCCAAGTTATGGCTGTAGAGAACCCACTGTAAAGCACGATTATGATCATGATAATCATGAGTCTTTCTGGTTGCACAGGTTCAGGCCTCAGCCTCTTCATTGATCCACTGACTTCCTTTAAGTTATGTCCAAAGACTGTATAAAATGATGGACCTCATGGCAGTTCCCTAAAATCAAAACAGAAACACTTGGTGCTCCCTCTAGTGTCTGGCTGTAGTACAGGTCTAAAAAAAAAAACCTAAAAATGTTGGAGATAACTTAACACTCTAATTTTCATCTTTAAAAGGTAGCTCACCAGTGTTGTAACATTCATATTGGCTGAACTTTATTTTATAGCTCTTATGAGGATTTTTTTTTTTTTTACGCCTTTTCATAAAATTTACAAGCAAACAAGACTGTAAGAAACAAGATAGACATTATTTCAATTGCTATTGCTATCTTATACCTGAAACCGATGTGGGATGCTAAAAAAAAAATTAAATAGAAATTAAAAAAAAAAACTAGCACTGTTTTGTACAGTTTGTACACAAAATACATTTATAAAACAATGATGCAGTCAAAACAGAATAAAGATAAGGTTATGGGTCAAAAATCACTACTTAAGCATAAGCTTGACAAATTTAGCAGAACCTGCTCAGTCCACAGGGGAGCACTGGAAGTGACACAAGCCAGAAGTTCCTCACGGGTCAGTAACCTTTATGGCAGCACCTGTTGCTGCAGCATTTTCATTTTTTTTTTTTTTACAGTAGGATGAAATGGAGGCAGGTTGTTCTTATTTCTATACAGTTACATGAAATCGTTAAATTTGTTTCAGTAGTCTTTTCATGACTCAAAAATTCTCTACTAATTACTCCTTTTATCTCCTTGCTTAGCTTCTTGTCTAGGATGCTTGACTCTTTCATCAAAACTAGCCCATCTTTCAGCACCACCCACTGTTTCAGCTTGCCTTTCCTTCACCATTGAAGCAGCCGCACAAAAAACAAGTACACTTAATCTAAAAAAGTCTTTCCCTCCATTACCAACTTGCCTGTTTTTTTCTTTTTTTTTTTTTTTTTTTGACACTGCCACCTCTTGCAAAGCACTGAATACAGCACACGACTCCTGCCACCCACTGTGCTCCAGCCTCCTCCACTGTGGCCACAGATACAGACAATTAGATCTGCAGAAAGACATGATTTCAGAGGTTTGTGCCCACAGACATAATTGCACCAAATAGCCCGTGCAAATAAGAGTAAATGGGTTGTGTGTTGTTGTAATGCTTGAGCGTGTTGGAGCTTGGTCTTGAATGTTTCTTTAGCACCAACTGTGACATTTGGTTTCTCCTATAGATGATAATAAAAATGAATCTGACTCTTAGTCTGATTTGCATCAGCAGAATTAGTGTAAAGTAAAGCTCCCAAAACCTGCAAATAATCTGTGGCGCTGATTTGAGAGTGAGTGAGCTGACCACCAAACTGGGTTTAAAACAACATAGAGAAACATATTTGTTTGTAACATGAGTGCACAGCCATTAGACACTCCAAAATAGCATTTTTTCAGGTTGTTGCTGTAGTTTGAGTAAGAGTAGCTGCAACTATAGTGCAAATCTATTGACAGTCAGTAAAGGCTCATTTTGTGAAATCACATGAAATCAATGCAAAGAAATATCTAATCATCAAAACAGGCTTCCATAGAATAACTAAGGCTCACCCTGACAAGTTTCTGGAGGACTGTAACGGTAAATCCCTTATCTTTTATTACTGTTCAGGGAACCAGATGATGCTTTAATTGCTGGACAGCCTACTGCATCCAATTACCTTGACCTTTTTATGATCCCGCTGTGGCGCTTTCATTTCACTTGTCATATTTTATTGTCTGATCATGTCAGTTCTCACCTTGGTCATCCTGCTGGCCTTAAAATGACAACCAAGATTGGTTTAAAGAGGCTTTGAGAGCATCGTTTTTTCCCGGTAAGTAATAATTTTTTCTTTTCACCTCACGCGCCTCAGATAAGGACATTTACGATACACCGTAATTGAGAAAAGTAGTGCTTTTCTGCTCCCTTAGCTGCTTTTCTTCATCCTTTTCATGGTGATGCTTCAGCTAACCACTATAATCAGCCAAATGGATGAGCTGCTTCACTGGGGGTGATGGTGATGGAATATTGATGGCACGGAGTGATTTCGAACCCTGATGTCTATGGAGACATTAATCCTCACTCAGCCGGTGAGTGCAGCCGGCACCTTGGTAGACAAATGCTCAGTTCTCCTCACATCAATCAGACAAGCTATTGTTAAAGGATGAAGAAATAGCCAGTCAAGTACTTTAAGAATGCCAGATTTAAGTTTTATTGTCACTGTTTGCTGAGTAGAAAAGACATCTGCGTATAAGCTCCTGCAGAGTGAGACACTCACATTTGCACACTTTTTGTCCCAGGCATGGATCAAAGGAGTTTTACATCCCTGAATGAGGCAAGACCCTTTTTAGGCTGCCTTTGGTCTGTAAGAGCATCCTGGGATCATAAAAGACACTGCTGTTGACGTCTTAAGCACCTGGAAGAAGGGAAGCACTATTTCCAGAAAAAGAAAGAGAGATTTTGTTATGAATGAATACCAGAGCAAAGAGGAGCGGTAGTGAAGTGTTGACTAGTGCAAACTGAGAAAGAGTATTGACATCAGGGCTCAGATAGAAGAGTAATACGATTAGCTGCTTGGATGGTATCGAATAGCAATCACAGATAACCTGATCCCCTTTCTTTACCTTCCTCCAGGCATCCTTTCCTTCCAGAGTTTGATCCTCCTGATCCCCAGGCTTCCACAAACAGCTCAATATTATTCAATAACATAATTAATATTGAGTAACAAAAGCCATAATTTGATTAATTAATCACTTCTTATACATGTGAATCCATGAGTGCATAAGTTCATTATTTCCCCATCTTGATAGGATTTATTTCTGCATGCACTATGCAACTCTAATGGGTGAATTTGTGTACTTTTACACTTGTTTGTTAGATGTGTAGTCATGTTATCGTTCCGGTCCAGCATGCCTTTCGTCTCATTAGCAGCGATCAAAGGCCGTGACCTTCTGTGGTAGGTCATGTTCACTCAGCCAGTGTGCATGGCTGGCTGCTAATGTCCTGGAAATCCTCAACACAGACACAAATAAATCTTTGCACAGTGTGTTTGTCCGCTCGATTTAATAGGAGTTCAAATATTGTGTTTGTCAACCTGCTATTTTTTGCTTTTCTCTAAACATAAAATTCGTATTCAGTCACCTGGGTTTCCTCGTCTTCATGTTATGTCCATTTTGTCGTTTTATTGCAAGGATAGCTATACATATTTCTTGACATACCATGCATCCCAATAACTTCTTTAAATCCCTGTAGACTGTTGACATTCAGGCCACATAGCTCAGACTCTTCCATTAGAGTGTCTGTTTGTTTACTGGTGAGAAAAAAGACCAGGAGGTGGTGATATAATGGAGCTACAGATGAATATAATGTCAAAGATTGTATCAGTTCCAGACTAAATTCATGGACCCTGTCATGTGTAAAACAAGCTCCATGAGCTTGTAAATGTAGTCCCAGCAAATAAACACATCCACATGTTAGCCTATGAACCTGAGGTCCCCTTATTTACCCTCCCTTCATTGCTTCATCTGAATATATTTGAGAGCATTGACAAGAAAAACAGACACCTTTTCTGATGAGGGGCACACAGTTACGTAACCCTATTGCATTCACTTACCAAATGAAAAAAAAGGAAACAGTTTTTTTGAGTATTTTTATTTATTTATTTATTGCTGTTTTTCGAACTAATTTTTTTCTTTTTTCTGTTTTTCAGACTATTTTTTCTTCGTTTTTTGTACTTATATTTTTTCCCTTCTTTCTGTTTTACAGACAAATTTTTATTCTGTTTTTTGTGCTATTTCTTTTCTGTTTTTTTTTCTTCCGAACTAAGCAGTACTTCAAAATCCTGTGAGAATCTCATACAATCAGATAACGTTAACCATCATCAGCCACCATCAACCATCAGCAGATTCTCCAGCTCCTAGATAACTTTAACTATGGGGTCAAAAAGAGTAAAGCATGTTATTAGTTAAACATTGGGTATGCAAATCCTGAGGTGCCTGTGCGAAGTAGAAAAACGTATGATGAATCCATCTATCTGGCGTAAACAAGTGGGCCATATTTGCTTCCAAAACATTGAGCAGAAGGGGATGTAAGCTTCCATTTTTAAATGATCATGAGCCCAGAAAGTAGGAAAATTAATTAGTCTGACAAACAAAACAAACAAACAATAAAAACTGTCTGAAAAACAGAAAAATTAGTCTGAAAAATGGGGGGGGGGGGGATATTCTGAAAAACAGAAAAGAAAAAAAATTAATCTGAAAAACAGAGCTTTTTTCTTTTCTTTTTTTTTTTGGTGAATGCAATACGCTTCAGTACACATTAGAGGATAATCATGCTAATTTTGAGCCTTTCTCCCACCCCAGTGCCTCCTTCTGGCAAAATCTCCTATGGTTTATACCCAGTTTCTGTGCGGTGTACACCAAAGTAGACCAAACAACTGAGGAACCTTGTTTAAATCGATCATGTGAGACTATCAACAGGGCCCTCATATTTGGTGATTTATTCTGACCTGTGAATATTTTTTGATAATATCAAATAAAAACATGTCCAGAGCTCCAATCACATATCTACACTAATTATCCTCTACTGTTAGAGCAGTAAAAGCCTCTCTCTACCGACTCAGTGTCTGAAGGTGAAGCGGACTTCAGGGTCAAACCACAAACCCATAAGCCTCCATTGATTTACAGGGTCTCTCTCTCATCCCTCTCAGTAATAACTCTTGTAATAGCCACTTGTGAAGCAGATGGCGTCTAAATTTTTAACCTACAACTGTGTTGCTTTTTCCTCTTTTTGTGGTCTCCAGTCTGGAGGTTAATGATTTAACGAGTGAGACCATCTGAGAAACAGACAAATATTCAAAACCGAGCTGGAATTCAGTCCATCGGGGTGCAGTTATTTCCCCTTAATTGTTTCCTGAACTTTGCCCTTGAGGTTTTCCCTGACCCGGTATATCCTGATGGGGCTCTGTGACAGACGGGGATTTGGGAAGATGTAAGAGGGTGCGACCTGAATGTGTGTGTATGAGTGTGAGTGAATTGGGTTGTTCTGGTCCCGTCCAGGTGGCAGCAGAGCTAAATGTACCTCATTTACTCCTCGCACACTCTCCTCCATCACCTTCACATTGAAGTCTGGATTTATTCAGACTATTCTTAAACCATTTTAGTGAAATTGTTCCCACAGGCTCTGTGTGATCTTGTGATGAGGTCTCAATGAGGCCAGGAGCCCCAACATCAGTATTTATTTACTTAAATCATTAGCTGCTCAACACTGCCCCAACAATTTCATGTGGTACTGCAACATTTGGCTAATTACAATGTCATTTAGCAGACGCTTTATCCAAAGCAACGTACATAAGAATCATACACCAGCGAATGACACGCACTGGGAAAAAGGTAGGTCTTTTCCAAGTGTCTTTTCCAAGGATGCAATGGACAGACTAGGAATAGGGGGGAATCAAATTGCCAACCATATAGTTGTGAGACGACGACTCATGGTCTTGACCATAAGCCTCCAGATACAGATACATGTGTACATGTGAACTCTCATGCAGAATATGAGCCATAAAATGAGTCTTAAGACTCTGGTTGTACAAGTGTAATCTGAACAATTAAAGCTTTAAGCATTGTGACGGACTCAGTCTTCAATTAGGTCATCAACCTTTGTGAGTTTTGTAATATTTTGCCAAAGAAATAAGGAGCTCACACTTTCTTGTGTTACCCTCCAGTTCACACACTCTTATAGCAAAAGGACTAAGTTCATAGTCAAGCTAATCTTTGTGTGACTTGGTGCAAGAGTCAGCTTTGTAGGACATTAATCCATGCCCTCCAACTTCATGTGCTTGTGACTTTCCTCTAAAATATCAGACAGATTTACTAGACTAAGGAACCAAGTTTCTCTGTTAATAAATTTTGAGTGTCAGGAACAGGCACACCCTGTACAAGCAACTCTTCATTCAAGAGCTCACAGATGAATTCTCAAACCCAGTCTCGCAGAAATGGTTACACACTCAGTCATGGAGAAAATGTATGTTGCTTGATTTTGTCAAACTTGACCCCAAAGACCCTAATGATCTGGGCTAAAAACATGTTTTTTGACTATGCTTCGGATTTGTCTTGGGTAATTTAAGATTTGTCTTGAAATTTATCTTTTTTTTCCTCAATAACAGTTTTTAAAATATTTACTGGAGACCACAACTGTAACATATAGAGGATGAATATTTAACTTTATGTTGGATGTATTATCCAATCTTTACAGTATATGCAGCATCCCCAAAGACTCCCTGTTCTTTCTCACAGCTTTGACCTGAACTTAGTCTCCATTTCAGGGAACAAAACTCCCAAAAATGTGACTCACACACCCATAACCTGGTCTGATCACCTGATACAGCTGTATCTGTTCTCTACTCTCAATTTCAGCCTAAAACCTCCTTGACAAATCAGCACCCCTGTGGGGACTCTCTTTATGGTCTGGAAGGGGTAAAAAAAAGTTCAGTCCCCCTGCTGAGGTGCACTGGTCAACACTGCACTGGGTCCCAGACATCACCCCTGTGGGACTCCCTCATTTCAGAGCATGGAGGGTAATGGAGGATGGACAAATCCTTTACATACACTCTAAATCACTCCTCCTGCTTTTCCATACATATTCCTAGCCTCTGTCTATCTCTCCGCCTGGCTTCCTTTTTTCCACCTGGAAAAACAGCAGGCAGTGAAACGTGATACAAGGTAGTGAGGTGGTGGTAGTGGGGGTGTCATCCTGGTTGGTGTGTTGTCCTGCTAATGGAGATGAATGTGGGTCCAGAATTGCCTTCCAAACAGCTTTCACAGTACAGAAAGAGAGAGGGGATCCATTTCTCCTGTGCTTCCTCTCAGGCTGCAGAACTAATGAGAGAGGGGGGCTGAGTACTCACGACTTGATTTGAGAGGAGCAGGGGAGTCCAGGGGATGAAGAACTGAAAAGAGAATGTGGGGGGGACAGAGAGGCGAGAATGAGCTGAGAGAAATCGAGCGGCAGGAGAAAGGAGAGGAAGAATGACATGTTGACAACAGGGTAAGATGGATGATAAAACAGCAGGGAGAGAGGGGGCTGAAGGAGTAATGACGTCCAGAAAGGTGTAATGCAGAGAGAGAGAGGGAGAGACACACAAGATGAAGACTGGCAGAGAAAAAGAGACCATGATTGCCTACAAATCAGCCCTTATGCCATTATTCTTCCCATGAGTCCATCTTCACAGTGTCTCTTGGAAACAGACAGCTCCTTCATCCTCAGCATTTTGAAGTTTTTGGGGTGCTGGGTCAACAACATTTTGGCAAAACCTTAAAAAACAAGAATTAATTTGGACTGCAAGTGGAAAAGAATATTGACAACTGAACCAAAAGCTGTTATCTTAAAATGCAGCTCAAAACCCTGTTTAGACTTGGGTTTAAAATGTGTTAACATGCATGATTCTTGTGCAGCTTTGGCCACTAAAACAACCCTAAAAAGATACATTAATTGCACCTGGTGCATGCACAACATTTTGACATTGCACCATAAAACTATAAGCAAAATACCAACACTACCAATGCTAGGGTTGTGCAGAGATGTCTTTATCTGTTTATGTATCTATAATGAACATATTCTGCTAAAACACCAGTTTTTCTTTCTTTTTTTTTTTTTTTTAGCTTTATTTTAATGTTTGTCACACAAGTTTGCTTTCTCTGATTCAGATTCAGGTCCACTCTGCCTAATGCATTTGGTTTTGTACTGATTACCAAAAGTTCATAAACTTTCAAACCAAACAATCAGAGAAAGTGTAGATTCACATCGTCATTGTGAGAATGTTTGTAAGCTAAAATCAGCATCTAGACCGACACAGGTACTTTGATACTGACAGGGCAGAATCTTTTTGTTGTTCTTGTCATTGTCTGTTTATTTAGTTATCTATTTTTCTTGCAGTAAGGCTTATTTGCACAGACTTTTAATGAATGCTTTGCTCCAAATGAATGCATAATGGTCCATTTCAGTCTGGAGTGCAGTTTGTGGAACATTTCACCCTTTGGGCATGCTTTATGAATAAGAAAATTGTGCTTTTGTCACATTTGCACAGGTTTAGTGGATAAAAACGATGCTCAGCCCCTAAGTGAAGTAAAACCACACAAAAAGCTGACTAAAGTAAGAATGAGGTACAATGAGGTTTATTGCAAATAGGGATTGTTGTCAGACACTGTTGTGTTCATTTTCACATATCTTGATCCAATTACATCAAAGTATACCTTATAACCTAGTTTTGACACTGTCACATGCCAGCAGATTAAACAGAAACTGGATGCATTGAGATTCTGATATTTTCTGATATGTGTCACACCCAGATCAGGTAGATCAAACTACTTTCCCTACATTTTCAGATAACCATGTGCCTCCTGGTGTTACAATACTTTAATTCAAGGGATTTGAGTGGCCTTGACAGCGGAGGACTGTCACTGTATTTACTCTGTCAGAAACCTTGTTAGTCTCCTTATTCTGCAGACGTATGCGCCTCTATGTGTGACTCACTTGAAGTCCTTTGATTCAGGAAAGAAAGCCTTTAAAACTGAAGCTGTGCAGATTTTTGGTTTCCTCAACAAAGGAAATGCTAGACCTCCTGTTTTTAACCATTGTCAGAGCTGTAAACTGGGCGAAACACACATGTGGCCTTGATGAACACAGTTAATTTCAACCGCTTGTGGCTTTGATGCTGGTGTGATACGCTGCCAAGCTGCAGGGGATCTTTTATAAGGAAGGTGATTGACTTACCAGAGAAACAAACAGCCACATCTCTGCCTGCCATATTCAATTATTGACGCTTCCAGTTTTCCAAAACTTAACAGTGACCTTCCCTTAATACCTGAGAAGGGATTTTAATCATTTGCATTTCCAAAGAGATATCATCTGTTTCCTTCCTCCTCCGTCCAAAATCACAGATTTTCTCCTGGAGCTCTTATTTCGGTGTTATACTACATGGCCCATTGTGTGCTCAAATAAGGCAAAGCCTCATCCTCCATGTGACTAGGACCGCTGTTCATACTTCCAATTGACCTCCGTTGTCATCCTGGTGTAATGACGTCCTCACTCATAAATCACAAGACACTGTGTGACTAAAATCTTACTCAGATCCCTTCAAATCTAAATTTAAAAAAGGCCTCATCCACGCCTCCAGTACAGAAATGACAGCTGAACACTTCATGCTCTTGAGCAAAGAACTTGAAGTGATATTACATCCACGTATTTACAATCTTTTAGATTTCTTTCTTTCTATTATTTTTATTTTGGTCTTCTTCTTACATCTAATATTTCTATATACTATACTACTCCTGAGCCTCTTATCCCACAGACCTTTAGGAGGGGTCTAAGTCTTGAGGTGAGGTGTCATTTTTTAAGTTTGGTTGACATATTATTGGACTACAGGCAGGGAGGTTCAAAGTCAGAAATCATATACAGGCTTTAAACTTTGACATTGGGGTAAATGCGCCAAAAACTATAGAGGTAAAAAAAAAAAAAAAAGAAACACAATGCATAAATTGTTAAAAGATGTGTTGTGCACACAGAGATACTGGGAAACCAGAATCGCAACCATGACATGTCTCTGGCCACTTAACATCTTAAACAAGAGCTCCCCCTTGTGGACAAACACCTTGACTTGCATACTTTCAGGAGAAGACCGTTCTCCTTTGAGGAGTGAATAAACCCTGATTCCACCCTGAGAGATTTTTTGTTATACCAAAAGTTTTCAAAACAAAGTCACCAACAACATGCAAACTTTAAAAAAAAGCTCTAGAAGTAAATTATGAAAGCATTATGTGGGAACCTAAAGGGAGCCCAAAGTCCTTCAAGTGCCAAGTGTAGACTATGTAATCAGAGCTTACTGATCAAAAGATGCATTTTTCTAATATCTGACTCGATTAGAGGACAACTCACTCCATCTTTGATTCATCCCTTTCTACACTTTGACTCTCCTCTTCTTTACACTTTGCTCTCAGCTCCTCTGTGACCCTCCAGCTGTGCTCCAGACTCTTCCTCAGCTCACCCAGATCTGTCCTGATCTCCTCCAGCAGCTCCAGCTTTGAGAGCCTCCTGTTGATGGATGAGAGGACATCAGCCTGTCCACTGTCTGTGTCCTCTGCGGAAGAATCCTGCTCAGGCTCACTTGGCTGACATGACTCCATAGTTTGCTCCCAGATCTGCTCAAAGTAGTCATCAATGAAAGCCTCCAGCTCCTCCAGGCTGCTGTTGTGAGCCCACTGATCGATGAGCACCTGCAGACCTCCAGACTCAGTGAGCCTCCTGAGAGTCCGTTCCCACAGAGCGGGATGGCAGAGGGAATTCACACTCAATACATTTTCCTCAGTGGGCATCCCAAGCTGAGTTTGAGGCAGAGCCAGGAGTATTTTTGGACGCCTGGAGGAAAGCAGATGCACTTGGCTTTCACCGTTCAATCCCAGGTGAAGCCCATCTGTAGGACTCCAGACGGGTAGATCTACAGTCAATCTCACGCTCTTTCGACCAGAAATTATCATGGACAAGCAGGACTTGAAGCTGTCTCTCTCCAAAAGGTTGAGGCGTGCCCTTCCACCTGAATTTCCAGCTGATAGTGCCATCAAGTGACCACCACTATCTGGTTTGTTTATAGACGCATGAGTTGTTGAACCAGCTGTTTGAGTCACTGTAAAGAAAATGATGAAAACTGTTTTATTTTTTTATGGCTCACATTAGATTTTATCATCTCCACCCATCCTGTAATAAAAGAAATGTGCTTATCACAGTATCTCTCAGACATGCTGACTCACAGTTACATAATAAACTGAATTTTCTACGACAGACCGTATCAGGTGAGGTTTGGATATATAGGTGTGTCTTTGCCTCTCTGTGTTTTGTATTGACTGTGCAGTAAAATACTGTGTTCACATACAATGGTTTTTAGATGCAGTGATATCCACTACAGCGTCATGTCTTATTAATGTAGTGCCACCCAAGAGCCCAAAGATCACAGCTTACCTGTACTGACTTGTAAAGAGATTTCTCCAGATTCAAGTCTTGGAGTTCTTCGCTGTTTTCAGCTGAGGCACATTGGCTGAAATTGAACTAATTGCCAACGCAGTCTCTCACAGAGTGATAAATGTCTTCCTAACTACAGTATACTTCTGGAAAAACTCTGCCCTTTTATACACAGTTATGCTTCTAACCTGTTGCATATTTACAAAAATCGTTGGAAACTGATCCTCAAAGTATTTTCCTTTTTTAACGTTACAACTTTTTTAGTGATTTGTTGTCAGCATCCTAACCTTTTTGAAACTTGTTTCTCACATCAAATTGAAAATTACAGAATACTTTACAAGAAATAATGAACTAATTAATAATACCTTATCAAACACACCTTTAGTTTATCAATTAATAGCTATAATCAGTTAATATATCAGGGCAGATATATGCACGCCTGCTCTGCTCCTCCTTATCATTATTTACAAATACATTTTCTATCACCAGGTTTTTATTTAATTGTAACTTTTCTATTAGTTATCTTTAGAAAACATTATTATCTCTGACATTACAAAGACAACAGGGCTACAGATACAACAACTCACTTAAAATTCAGTCAGACCGAGACGCTAAGGCAGAAGAACGACCGCATCTGCAGTGCACATACAAGATACACAAGAATTACGTTTGCATTTCCATTAAGTAATAATTATAAATTTTCTTCCTTGAGCTGTGAAACTCTGCTGCACTGGGTGATCGACTCGTCAGGGCTCCTCCACAAAAAAGTGGCTGCTGGAGGAGAGTGGGTGAGTTGTGTTTGGTGTCTTTGCTAAAGAAAATAGGCAAAGCGAAAAAGATGTTTGATGGCTAGTGCTGTGGCTGGGACCCTATATGTACTGTTAATGAAGTTAGGTGCTGTTCTGAGCATTATTTGTGGCTATAGAGTGGCTTTTTGGTTGAGCATGTGGCTCCACAGACCGCTGTGTATTGCTATCGTGCAGTCGTTACTAAAGTTGGTGTAACCAGAGAAGCAAACAGTCTGCAAAATTCAACTCTCGAGGGGGTGTCTAACTGTGTGTTACAGTGTGTTTGACCATGACTCAAACTTACGCCAGAATATGCCTTTAAGGCACATGACTTTTCAGCATTTGTGTTGCTTGTCATTCCATTGACCTGAAACTAAATACTAATAATCAACACTTGATCTATGATCTTGATTCAGCTGACAGAGAATCACAAGTTGTGTAGGGCTGCCAAAGGATGTATCGGGTGTGTCCTTCACGGCTTATGAAAAATAAGCCTCGAGGGACACATTTCCTGCACAGACAAAATAGTGTGTCCGTGTCCAAATGCAGTCCCTGACTCGTTTGTCAGCCACATGAGGAGCCTTCAAAAGCTGAAAATTCCCAAACATGGTTGGATGCTAACATTAGGTGTCAGCAATGCTAGTGAACCATACTATTGTGATGCTATTGTGAATTTAGTACAGCCCACTGTCCCTCCATACTCGTCCTTTCTGTTGTTATTGCCTAGCTTAAAATCTCAGTTACTGTAAATTTCTGCCACTCCTTTCAAATCACACATCCTTCTTTTTTTAGTTAGCCAATGATCAAATGCAAAAGATCAATTGGTTTTTCAAGGAAAAGTCCAATCAGATTTTCTCAATGACTTGAACTTTAGCTTCCTTGTTTGCTGGTTGATTATTTCTTGTAGCCAATAACCGTGAACTTACCCCATGGTGTTTTTTCAGATGCAGAAATGTTAGCTAAGAATTTAGCCGACAGCAAAATCATAAACATGTTATTTAACACAAATCTGACAGTAAGTCTCTCCAGATTTTTATGTACAATTGTCTTTTCAGCTTCTGAACACTTGATCAGCAGTGCAATGATACTTTGTGAAATACTTGTAACATGGGACTGAGTGGTACAGGATAAGCTCTTAGTCCTGTGCCCAAGCCCCTGGATCGGGATCCCAGAGTCCAGGAACTTCTGCTCTAAAGGTATTTAGTCATTTTAAACTCGAGTCTACTACAAAATGCAACAACCTGGTGTTACATAATATGTTGGTGAAACAGTGGTGCATTGGGTTTACTCACATTCAGGAGCCAGCTGATGTCTGCAGCTTGTTAAATCTTCTTCACACAGCGTCACTGCCTCTGGCTGCTGCTCCCCAAATGAACAAACATTTTTCCACATGAGGCAGTCTCCTCTGTGTAAAGCCACCATCCTTTCTTCAGCCAGCATCTCCTCTACCAGATCAATCAGCTCCTTCACCTGAGCTCCTCCCCCCAAATGTTTATTATCCAGGACGTGGTACCTGTTCCCACACTTCTCCACCAGCCTCTGCAGTGGTTCTCCTTCGCTCTCGATTCGCTGCTCGATGCTTGTGTTGCCCAGCCAGTCCCCATAGCTGAACAGAACCACAGCTTTTCTCCACATTTGGTCTCCCCCTGCCTCCATCTGTGTCTCCAAGAACTCCATATGGGTCTCTCTGAAAGAGGAGCTCCCGTTGACAACCAGGAGGATGGCACAGGATGGTACCAGGAAGTCAGAGGTCACAGGGAAGCAGGCAGGTGTGTCCAGCACGGCCACAATCTTGCCGCTGATTCTGGCTTGTTTTTCTGAACAGGAGGTGGTTTGGTTTTCTGTCTGGAAGCACTCTCTGCTTAGGATGGTGTTACCACATGAGCTTTTTCCTGTTTTCCTGCCTCCAAGAAGCACTAATCTCAGCTCTGAAAAAGAGCTGAGCCTCTCTGATGGAGAAAAGTTTTAAAATCCTGTTAAATACACAACAAACTGGCAAAAAAAGATCATCTCGACAGCTGTATTTAATATTAGATGAGTAAAATAAGATTGCACTGGCTTTTAAATGTATTAAACTCACCCAGATGAGACCTCGCCTTCTGTCTTTGTTTCTCCTTCCTCTCCAGTCTGTCCTTGGCTCTCATCTCCTCTCTCCTCCTGCTCCCCTCCAGCTGCTCCACCACTTTCCCCTCGATTTCACAATGCTGCCCATGGCCACAGCCAGCCAGCATTTCTTCAATCTTCACAATCAGTTCTCTGACTTGAAATCCATCCCCTGTTGTTTTATTATTCAGAACATGATACCTGTTGCCGCACCTTTCCACCAGCCACCGCAGAGGCTCCCCCTCACTCTCAATGCACTGCTCAGTAGTCGTCCCTCCGAGCCAGTCCCCAAAACTAAATAGCACCATGACACAACCCCAGATGTGCTGGTCGATCAGCTGGAGGTGCTCCTGAGCTGCTCTCCTGTAGGTTTCTGTGAAGGCCCTGTCCATGCGGATCACCAGCAGGAAGATATGAGGGCCTGGGGGGCACAGGGACAAACTGAGGACCATCTCCCTCCGGTCAAAAACAGGGGTCTCATCAGAGAAGTAGTTCATCCACCAGCCAGGTGTGTCCACCACAGTCACCTGTCTCCCAAAAACCACTCCTGTTCCCACCTGGCACTGGGCTGTTCTCCTTTCTGACTGAGCGCTCTCTCTGCTCAGGATGGTGCTCATTGAAGAAGTTTTTCCAGAACCCCTTGCTCCCAGTAACACAATACGAATGTCAGGACTGAGCCGCAGCCTCTCTAAAATAAAGGAAAGACTTTAGACTGAGCAAAGGGAAGAATATGAAGAATGTGAAGTAGCTTTAGTGTTTATCCTGACTGATGCAAAGGTGAAATCAATATATGTATCTCTATATAAGCCCTAAAAACAAAAAGACCATCAGCAACCAGACTGATATTCTCTCTGCTGTGATTTTTTAATGCCTTTAACTGCTATACAGGTAACCAGATGACTGACAGCACACTAAAAAAACAGTTTTTAAAACAAACACTTCCAGAAAGTGATGCATCGAAAATCAAAAGGGTTGGGGTTTTGTCTGGAAACACTACTTTCCAGACTCTCAAAGGGTGGAGCCAAAAGTTCCTGACAGCAACTTTAAATATTAGTATTAATACACAACAGTTGTTGTCCAGGACCATATAATTGATTCCTTGTGTTTTGATGCAGTCTGCCGGATACAGTGTTTGGTCAAATTGAGCATTATCCTGCACTTTTCCTCTCAGCTAGAGGAGACAAAAAACATCTTTTTACCTTAAAAGTATTTTATTTGAGTCATACTAAAAAGTTAATAGTAAAAAAAAACACTAAAGTTAAACATGAAGACAGAGAGAGTGAAAAGCATCCTTATGCATGTGTGTTTTTTGAATCAGCTTTGTCCCATGAAAATATTCAACTTGCAGCTTTTGCATCAAAAGCAGCACAGATATTATTTAATGCATTCCTGGGAGGTAGACTGTCTTTATTTACAGTCTGCAAAAGGATGACTAGTCGATATTTCAGCCAAAAAAAGCAGAACTTTTAAAGATTAACTCACCTCTCATGAGGCCTCTGTGTCTCTTCACTCTTAAATATCTCTGCTGAGCTTTCTCCTCCACCCTCCTTTTCTCCTCTTCAGCTGCAAGTAAAACCTTTTCCTGCATTTCAAACACTTTGTTCCCATTTGCAGTGACTACTTCCTGAATCTTCTCCAACAGTTTGGGGACTACAGCTTCATCGCCCAGGTCTATCTTGTGGATTCTGTGACCACACTTTTCACTGAGCCAGCTTAGGGCTTCAGTCCTCGATTGTAAGAGCTCTGATGCTTCTGTGAGGTCAAATCTGTCGGCAGAGGTAAACACCACCATGCAGTGATGCCACACGCTCTCACCGAGCAGGGCCACATGCTCCTCCACAGCCCTGCGGCGCCTCGCAGAGAAGGCTGAGCTGGCTTTGATGACAATTAGAAATACATGTGGACCCGGTGAGCAAAGAGACACGCTGCTGATGATTTCCCTCTTCACCAGCTCAGGTGTGTCCCGAGCACTGAAGTCACACCACCATCCAGGTGTGTCCACCACTGTGAGCCACCGACCCCCAACCACACCCAGCCTGCGGGAGCATGACGTCCTCTCTTTGGTGACAAACTCCTCATGGCCAAGGATGAGGTTTCCCACTGAGCTCTTACCAGAGTTTCTGCCACCAAGGAGGACAATCCTTAAATGAGATGTGCACCAGCTGTCCCCTGGGAATCAGAAAAGCAAGAACATTGAGAGGAGATATAATTAAAGTATCCTCCCTCCTGAAAGAATCCACTCCTCTGGTTACAGAGACAATAATATCAACATGACTGCGCCTACAGTATATTGTCTCTTTATCATCTGCTGTCTGAACTTTGTCCTCCTAAACAGTCATCTAACATGCATATGCATTTTACTACAATTCTTTGGAAGCTATGTTTAAACCTGTTTAGGTGACTACAAAAGTCTTGCATTTTACTTCAAATATTTGTTAGAAAAAAACAATAATAATCTGGAGTGTCAACTAACTGCATAATTTTCCTCTTTTATGAAAGGAAATCAAACTTTCTAGAGTTTGTGAGTTTTCATGTGGACAAAAAAGGACATTAAAAACCACAACATTCATTTTTGTTGGCATAATGTTCAAACACTCACCTTTTTCCATAATGCTGCTTTAAACTAAAAAGTGTGACCCTAATTCATATGGTTTTGTGTGAAGTTACATGAGCTTAATGTCAATGATATGAAAGATTCACAAAACAACAAGCATGACGGCTAAATAAGGAATTTGAGATGCACAAAACACTGTCGCAGTATGTGATATAAACAGAAGTAAATATCGAAAAGCTCATACAAAATGAAATACCTATACACTGAGATGACATTTTCGGTATCTTCAAAATAAAACCTGCATGTCCTGGATTTCATTAAGTTACAGAGGAGATTAGGAAAAACTTACATGCTGACACCTCGGGGGTTGCCATCTCACATTCTCTAAAAGCTGGAAGATTTTAAATCCGACATCCCCCATTCAAAAGCCAATATCCATGTTTCTGTCTCCTGGTGTAAAATGTGAGTGGGATTGATAACAGAAGTCTCTGTTTTTTATGCTTTTATGAGTCTGAAGGTTGTCTGTAATGAGTAATCACACTAACATGCAACAGCAGGAAGAAGCCATGCCTCCCTGTATGGGGTCAACAGTCCACTATTTCTAGAAACACAAGACAGTGTGGGGTATCTTTTGTTTACCTGCAGATGGATAGTCATGTAGGACTGACAAACGCTGCCAAGTTTAAAGTTTTTAGATCAATACTACAACTTGTTCATTTAAAACCATGCATTTTGCAGCTGTAGATGTTGAGAATGTGTTTCACCATCTCAGCCTACTTCAAGGCACATCATTCATATTCTGCAGGATTATTATTGTAGTAAGAACCGTGTCCCTTCAAGTGCACTGGGATGAGCTCAAAAAGTAGTAAGTGGGAAGTAAGTTTCTTAAAGAGGTAACAGGTAAAATCGGTAACAAAAAAGACCCGTAGTTCTCTCATGTTACAGAAATGTAAGAATAAAGTTACTTTCTGGAGAAGTTAGGTATGTATGCTACAATAAAACGCCTCCTGCAGTTCGTTGAATTGAGTGTACAGGGATGATTTCTTACACTGGACGAATGCCCATTAAAACGTATTATTCTGTACTAGCCATGTACTACACACCGTCCTTAATGCGATCGCGTTTCGTGTCTAATTACTGTGAATAAATTGTCAATGGTTTCTTCCTGGGGTGTGATTTTGTTGTCTTCACGCGTGTCTCTTAGTCAGACTCCGCCCCACTCCGCTGCGCCGTGTTATAAAAATAACGAACCCTTCAGCTCACACACAGTTAGCTTGATGTGCAGACTGCACCGAAGGAGCAATACACTCGACAATGGGGGTGAAAGTAAAAGTCGAATATTGGTAAATACATGCATTATTTTACATATATGTCCTTTTGTGTGTTTCTAACCAACATGTATGAGTTTTACGTCTTCTTGTTCGCGCAAAATTCAATTCACGAGTGTTCAATAGCTAACGTTAGCAGTGTTAGCTTTCAGCGAGACTAACGACAGCCTGGTAACAGCTTGTGTTTTTATGTTTTAAATGTATGCATTGTGTCCATGCAGTGGTGGATGAGGGTACGAACCCCGCTATCGGGAGCTCGCCAAGTCAATTACGGATGAGTTTCCTGAGGCGGAGGTGTCGGGCTTTGTGGGAAGACAAGGCAAGTACCGTTAAAGCGAGGAGATGAAGCATTTCTGTGACCCATAGTCTACTAGTGTTTGTCTGTCTTTCGACAAGGGAGGAGTGTGGAGATGTGATTTGTGTATTCTTTGTTTTGCAGGCAGCTTTGAGATTGAAATCAACGACCAGTTGGTTTTCTCCAAGCTTCAGCTGGGTGGCTTCCCATACGAAGATGATGTGAGTAACCACACACACACTCCCACGACTGACGTTCATGTTTTTTAACTTTTATGTTACCAATTTGAAGCCGTTCCTCTGATCCACCTGTCTCGTATATCCCTTGAAGGGATATTCCGGCGTAAAATTAAGTTAGTGTCAAACGCACTGGAACACTGAGTTAGACACCCCCTCGAAGGATGAATGTTGCCGACCGCTTACTTCTTTAGTTATACCAACTCTAGTAACAACCGCACGATAGCAATACACAGTGGTCTGTGGAGCCACACGCTTAACCAAAAAGCCGCTCTGTAGCCACAAATAATGCTCAGAACAGCACCTAACTTCATCAACAGTACATATAGGGTCCCAGCCATAGTACTAGCCACCAAACATCTTTTTAGCTTTGCCTGATTTCTTTAGCAAAGAGACTAAACACAACTTACCCACTCTCCTCCAGAAGCCGCTTGTTTGTAGCGAGACCTCACGACTGCAGCGGGGGGACACAACTCAAGGAAGAACATCTATGATCATTTCTTCATGGAAATGCAATCGGACCGAGACGCTTAGGCAGAAGAACTAGGGCGTCTGCAGTGCAAAATGATTTAATATGGTGATTATTACTTCAAGGAAATGATAAAGAAATTATCATAAATGTTCTTCCTTGAGCTGTGTCACCCCACTGTAGTCCATAATGGACTCGCCTGAGGTCTCCATACAAACAAGTGGCTGCTAGAAGAGAGTAGGTGAGTTGTGTTTAGTCTCTTTGCTAAAGAAATCAGGCAAAGTTAAAATGATGGTGTTTGTTGACCCGTGGCTCTCAGCCATAGCAGGGTGCATGTGGCTCTCTGTATTGCTATCTGCGGTCGTTACTAAAGTTGGTATAATTAGAGAAGCAAGCAGTCGGCAACATTCATCTTTCGATGGGGTGTCTAACTCAGTGTTACGGTGTGTTTGACCCTAATTTAATTTTATGCCGGAATATCCCTTTAATCTATCATAGTGACTGATTCAGTAATCAGGTGGACACTGCAGGTCAGCAGGCTGAAGCCAGCATGGCTCAAAGTACCTTAAGTCTTCCACAGATTTGAGTTGTGTTTTTTTAGTCATAATGCTTTGCGACTGCATTTTTGAAGGTGTTGTTTGACAACATTATGATAATAATCATGCCTGATTTTTCTTTTGTGTCATAGATAAGACGTGTAATGGAGGATGCCTGTGACGGGAAACCGGTGCAGAGCATCACCAAAAGCAGAGCGCCGTGTGTCATTCTGTAAGCCTGCTTTACCATCAGCAGCATCAACATAGGCCAGTGCAACCATACACTGCCAGCAGCACCTTTGGACTTCCACCATCCTTTGAAATGGGCAGGAATAGAAACCACAACAGAGACACTTGGCTGCTTTCTCTGATGCAGATCATCAACCTCCTCTTGGCCTTCTGGCTCCCTTCTCTGTCCTTGCTGTGGACTTCCAGGCTGTTAATGATTATCCTAGCCTAAAATTTGAGGTTAGGGTATGATGAATTCATTCCTGGAGCGTCCTACTTTGAAAAGACTGAGACTGGGAGAAGATGTCACAGAGGGGATTTAAGGAGCTTGCTTTAATTCTCAAACAACCTCATTGCCTGGAATTTTCTGACTGTCTTTTTACTATACATGCAGTTATTGGTTACCTCTCTATGCACATGGGCCATGCAAACATACATCTAAGCTTGAAAGGAAACTCTTTCTCCCTGCACTGTAAATCTGTGCTGAACCCTATTTTCTCTACGTTTGCAGACATCACTGTACAGTTGTGGAATGTGAAGCAGTTTTGAACAATTAGCTGATGGTAAAATTAGTGTTGTAATATTCTGAAATACTCCAAATTAAATGATAAAAGCTCTTTTGTAATTTCAAATGGTTCCACAGCGATCATCAGAAGTGCTTCTGAAGACCACCATCCACTGGTTTGTCAGCTTACACTTTTTAGATGCCGCCTCGTTTTCCACAAATTCTCCTGCACTTTTTCCTTAAATGTCAAAACTGTAAACTTAAAATTAAAGTACAGTTTGTTTAAATACCGTTTCTGTCTTCTTCTTTATATTATATAGACATCTGCTTGTTTGAATCAATGAACAAAAGAGTTATTATGTCAAGCTCCATCAGCAGAGGTCAGACCTCACATACCTGTGAGAAGAATAGGCAGGGTGGGGTGATGACTGTGCAGATTTGACAAACAGCTGCTCCTAGGGGAGGTATTCAGTGTTGTCGGAGATTTAAATAGGCCTCTTGACAATGTTGTTCAGCAACTGCCAATTATTTGACAGTGCAAATTCAACGGTGGTTTGTGTTTGTATATTATGATAGCAAACCTGCACGGCAACAGTTGAGTGAGTCCCAGCAGTGCCATTGATAGGCTGTGATTCCCCCACACCCATGACAGGACAATAAAAATGATTATCAGATAGAAGTTATTAAATGAGTCAAGCTTTAAAGAGCTGTTGTTTGTAAAGAGGGTGTATTTGGCCATTTGTTCCCCTGATACATGATTTAGAGTTCAACGGTCTTCACATATTTCAGGCTGCTGTCTCTGATGAAATATGCCCTTTAAGAAGCTAAGTTCTCATGTGACTTTTTGAACAAGTCATTCAGAGCCCCCTGTAGTCCCATCTGGGAACTACTTCAACACACATTAATCCAGAGACTTTGCTCATGCTTAGTACTAATGTCCAACATTTTAACTTTGCATTTGCTTTCAAAATATGGAATAAGCATAATCCCACCTCTTTATTTTAATAGTTGCCCTTGGATGAAATTTTCCAATATTTTGTCAAACCTGAGGTATGAACTCTTATTACAACTCCAGTTCCCAAAAATCATGTATGCAGTATAAAATGTCAAAAAAAAAGAAAAATATTTTGACATTTTGGAGATAGTTTGAACCTTATATTCAATTGAAAGTAGAGCAGAAGCTTAGAAGTACTTCTGTCAGTGTAAAATGCAAAATATCTTACACACTGGATACACAGAGGGGCGCCAGATTCAAACAGGACTGTCAGGTTCAGTTTTTTGCCTACGGCACCCCCTTGCTCAAAGAAAAAGACTCAAGTACCGCCAAGTCAAATACATGGAGAGAATTTGTATATGAAGACAGGTTGTTAAAGCTGCAGGATCAGCTGAACAGCTGTCTCTGCCAGATATCCCACTTTACATGGCTGCAAAATGAAAACTTTTTCCATTTCAACAGATTTGCAGATGAATCAGCAATTATTTGGCCTGTCAATCAAAAAATAGAGAAGAGGGTCAAGTCAAAACTAGATTTTCAAGTGACAAAAAGAAATGTATGATGTCTCTATTTTCAAAAAAGAGTAGTACAGCATTTTATACCTTTGTTTAAACCTATCCTTTGTTTAAAGAAAATAAGACTAGTATACAAATATTTATTATTTGAGTTAAAGAATCAGGACAAAAAATTATGTGGGAAAGAGAAAGGGACAGAGCTGTCGAGGTCAAAATCATAAGTATTCAGAGTACTCTAGTAATAGTAGCTTTCTTAGTGGACATGTAGGTTGTGTACTTGGAGTGTTACACTCAGTGACTAGGTGGGTCTGTGGTGTTGGCTCTGGTCTTCAATGATAACTCACATCAGTAGTGTTTGTTGATATACTGATAGAGCCACTTTGTACTGCCTCGATACAAATATGCAGAGCTTATGAACAGCTATCTACATGACAATTATCCCCACATTGTTTTTAGAATTTTAAAATGTAAGTCACATTTCATCCACATAACCATCTATGCGTCACTTTCAGTTGGATAATTGTTGGTTCTTTATATATTATTATTATATATATTTTTTGTTGGTATTTTACACACTGTTTAGATATTACACTGTAAAAAGAACAATGTTAAACGGCTTTGTGTGTCAAGTTAAATCTCCTTGAAGAATGGGCTAACCTTTAAGACTACAAGCACCTCTCAGTGGAAATGGCTCTGTAGAGTCTGGGAGTGTCTGTATGTTGTGTGTAAAGACACATGGACACAACAGATAGCTTTTACTACTGGTGATAACAGGACTGTGCCACAGTAGTGTCTTTAGCTGGGGCCCACAGCCTCTTACTGGGAGGTGTGTATAAAGCCTTATGGGGATGAGAACCATGGTGGAGTTAAGGTGTGTTTTTTTATCAGAATATTTCAACATTTATGGTACAGACAACTTTGGGTGCAGGTTTTCTCACTCCTCCAGCACTTTGATTCAATGAATAAAGCTGCAAAAGTAATGCTATCAGCCATCCATCAATCCATCAGTTTTAATTCATATAGCAGCAAATCACAGCAAAGGTTCGCTGAAATTTAGAGTAAAAAACAGAATACACTATTCGTAACCATATTTGAAGATTACAGTAATTCAACCACGAAGAGAAAATTTGTACAGGCAGAAACCTGAGGCAGAAACAGAGTCATTGGTGAACACCCATCTGCCTTTCAGCTGGTTTTGAGAAAATGGGATAGAAAGATACATTCTCATTGGAGCTACTTTATATGTGTTATGAAACTTACACATTTAAATGATATGATAATAAATGTTATAATTGCTTTTCATCACCTTGTCAGAAATGCCTTCAGTACATAAGATCATGCTGATGTTAGCAATTAGCTTAGGCACCCCTCTGCCTAATTTCCCAGAGTTATTTTAAATAGTTACCTCCCATAACCGATACTCTCAAACGATCTTTTGCAATATAAGTATTCCTTGTATTTACTGTTTGATATTCTCTTAAAAATAAAACTACAGAACATAAAGGCTGTGTGTATCATTGTCCCATTTCTTAACACTAACCACTGATCGATGTTTGGTATTGCTGTGTGTCTCTGAACCAGTCCACAAATGGCCAAGTCTTGAAGTATTAAATACTTTTCTTAGTTTTTACCTGGACTGAGGTTCAAAGTGAGCTGAGCTGATGGTAAAAGTGCATTTAAAGCACCACAGAATACGGTCTACGATCAGTCAGGGGGGTATCATCAATGTGTGTGCTACGTATGTTTAAAAACAACCGGGAGATAACAGTGCAATGGTGGAGGGTGCAAGCGATGCTCGAATATAATGTTGGTTGTGTGACAGGTTGCTTGATATTAAATGGGTGGATAGATTTGAAACGTGCAATGTGGAAAGACTGAATGAATGCATGTGCCAAAGAGTTACTGCACATGAATTATTCACCCTTGATAAAGTCCTGAGTCTAACAAATTTCAGCTGTGTTGTTAGATTCACTTCTTCTTCTTCTTCTTCTTCTTCTTCCATGGTATTGCAATCAGATGTGTCATCCTACACATAAAAAAATGCTGGGTTGTTTTGTCAACCCAACCACTAGGTTGAGCTTGTTGGTCAGTTTATTTGAGTTATTTTCATGGAGTTGGGTATTCTGCGTACCCATTATGCAAGGTTATTTATGTTGGGAACAGAGTTTTTAGCTGTTGGGTAGTAGTTTCTATACAGTCTTGTTGGTTTATTGTGGACTACCCAACACATAGGGTAGATGTTCGGGCATTTGAAACCAAGCACCACTCACTCACCAGATTGATGCCACAACTGCTGAAGCGAGGAGACATACAAAGCAAGGCTTGTTACATTCCCACTATTGCTTTACCATATAGATGACTTGATATTATTATATAGACCCTCATATTGTCGTTAAGATTTAAGTTTGTGAAGCACTGTCGTGTACCAGCTTCTGCCTTCAGGAATTGATTGGTAGGTGAGCAAGCTAATGGTTAGCTAACGTTAGTAGCATAAAGTAGATTGCCTCAAATGTAGCAAGCTAACATGTTAGCTGATGTGTGGTGTGGTGTGGTCAGAAATGTTGAACTGCTGCTTTAATGGACTCTCTGTCTTGATGTTTCAGGTACGAACAATCAATGGATGACTTTGAGACGTGGAGTGGAGTGGGGTGGATGCAAGATACAACCTCCTGTTCTGTATTGTTTATTTTGAAAAGATAAGAAAACCATAATAAAAAAGAGAAAACTGCCAAATGTTTACAAACTCCAAAGTTCATTCTCCATCAGTAAAATGGAAAGGGAGCTGTTAAAGTGTGGCAGTAAGAGATAAGAAATAATAAGAACTTTATTGTAGAGTAAAGTATAATTAGAGTAAGTAGTATTGTACAGTAGCTTAGGAGGTAGAATGGTCGCCCAATAACTGGAAGATTGGCAGTTTGGTTCCCCCCTATCCCTAGTCTGTCTGTTGTCTCCTTGGACATGACACTTAACCCACCTTGCTCCCAGTGTGTGTATGATTGTGAGTGTTGTGTGGTGGTGGTCAGAGAGGCCATAGGTGCAAACTGGCAGCTTCTGTCGGTCTGCCCCAAGGCGGCTGTGACTACTAAGGTAGTTTACCACCACCAAGGTGTGACTGTGTGAGTGAATCAATGATGTATCCAATGTAAAGCACTTTGAGGGTCCCTGATAAAGCGCTCCATAAAATCTGATGCATTAATGTAATTTAATATTATATTAAATATTATCAACCCAACATGCTGGGTTTAAAGAACCTAGCAGAGTAGTTATTGTGAACCCTTAGTTGGGTTATATGAACACTCCAATTGGGTTATATAAACCACCCAATTGTTGGGTTAAGTGAACTTTCCCAATTAGTTGGGTAAAATGAACCCAGCATGTGTTCTGTCGAATATTTAATCAGCGCTGGGTTGGAAAACTCCCTAAATTGGATTGTTTTTAACCCAACCTTTTTAAGAGTGTAGTGTGTCCTTCTTTCACCAGTGTGTGCTAATGTCTGTTATCAGAGTTCGACCACAATTCTCAGCCTTAAGTCAGCTGCAGAAGAAGTCCAACCCTGTCACCACCATGACAAGACTCTAACTGAGTCTGAGGGCAGAAATGGAAAAAGTTAGATTTAATATGTTTATCTGTCTAGGAGATAATCAAGTGGGGCAGCCCTCTCTTACAGCAGGGAATCCCTGAAGTGTAAACAAGATGACGCATTAAGATGCTCTCCCCCTGATCATGTATGTTGTCCCCCTTACAGGTACCCCCTGTGTACCCTTCAGTCAGGATGGACTCAGGCCTGCAAGTTCTCTCTGTCCAGGTCATGACCAAGCCTGATGCATGATGGGAGTGTGGGCAGGGTTGGGATATCCCTGCCTCAAGGTGTCCCCGCCAGATAGGGCTGCCTGTCTGTCATAGAGGCCTTATCATCTCTGCCCCCTTGCCAGGTTGCTTAGCAACCAGAGGGGTTGTGGGGTACAGGTCTTCTTAGGGTCGATATACATTTGAAAGGGTGTTCCCGCTCCTCTCGTTCTCTCTCTGTAATCATCTTTTTTGGTGTCCCGGCTCACTTTATCAACCGGCTCGTCTAGGTTGACAGAGCAGAGGTCGCCCTGTTTCCAGAGCTGGTCACCGGTGGGAGTACCTGCACACAGGTGAGGGTGTGGTCTCTTCCCGACAGAGGTCAGGTACTACTTTGTTGCACTGAAGAGAGAAGGAAGAAATCAATCCAGATAGATTTGTGAGTGTACTCAGATGGTAGAGGAGCATTTTGTGTCTGGGCTGTTTGACAGATAAGAGCGGGAGTTTAGTTTGAAATAATTTCTCAGACTTTAATTGTTTTCTAAATGTTTTTTTTTTTGGAGTCATCTCAATTTAAACTCACAAAAATAAGCATATTGAGTATATTTATATACTTATAAGTATATATTGTACTTTTAATACTTATTCCAGATCACAGGTAAGTGTATCTATCATCCTGAAGACCGCAATGAACAGGACATTTGAACCATTTGGATCAGGCTCTCTGCTTGTATTTCACAATTTTAAAAGTACAACAAAATGGGAGAGTTAAGATCCACTGTTGGTATATAATGTCTCAAGATACCTTCCATATGTCTGAATGATTTCTCTCATGCAGAGCTTTTTATTATTTTTCTCAATTTTTTTGCCCTAACTTTTGCCATAATTTTTCTCCCTTTTATCACCGTCTGTCGAGAGAGAATTTTAGTGGAGTTGTCAGCTGTCTAGAACTCTAAAATGCAATCTGTGTAAAAAAGAAAATTTGCACCATGAGCCCATGAAAAATACAGTTTTGTAGGTATGTGTTTATTATGCAATGTGTTTCTATTGCACAAGATCACAGTGGTTAAAATTAAAGTTTTTCACTGCACTGTTACTGAAGAGAAGGGTGTGACCTAAAGATAAGAGTCTTTTTGCTCTTCAGAGCTCCTTTTTAAACTCTCAACGGCTAATTGACTATCTGTCCTGAGCTCTATAGAGATGGTAGATGGCGGTATCTTAATTAGGTGCAAAGAATAGACTGAACACCTCCAAAGTAAAACACTATGATTGCCTGATGAAGATAGTATAAAGATGTCCTGCTGTGGTTTAGCCTATGCATGATAAAAATGTGGTTCTCAGCATTTCTAATATAGTTTTATTCTTTATGATTATGATATACTTGTTTTTGTCTTTTTCTTATTCTGTTAGTTCTTGTCTCTCTGAGGTGATGCATGAAAGCAGCTGAGACTTGAAGGGCAGACATCAACAATAATGGAAAACGCTTTCAGCTTTGATGAGGTTGGTCTCCTTTTGCTTCAACATTTCATTATTGAAACATTATTTTTATTCTAAAGCCTTAGTGACTACTGATTACAAACTTCCGAGGAACATCATAGAAAATTGCACTGAAAAACAATCATGGACCATAAGGAGTATTTATGGTTGTCAAGATCCTCTACGGAAGAAATGTGTCATAAAGATATGAAGTAGAATTGATCTTGGTAAATTGGTCCAAATTGAAATACATTTTGATTATCTATTTTTCACCTTATTGTTCCATTTTCATCTAAATTTCTGTTCCCATTTCTTTGCAATCTCACCCCGTTTCAGGGCAGTGAAATGTCCTTTGAAGAAAATGACTCAGCCTTCCCCTCTCCAGTGAGACTGTGAGTGCAGACTGTTCAGTTTTTAGCTGGAAACTGTTTACCTCCTTTGCCTCTGTGTATATGTACTACCTATGTGCTCCTGCGATGTGAACACCCTTTACGAAGCAGATAAGGTGTCAGGTATTTCACTCAAGAGACGGTGGAGTCAAGACCTAAGATAAAAACAAAAAAAAGCAGAGTGAGAGAAACACAAATTCAGATTGAGTCTCTGTTGAGTGACCCATGCTGTCTGTTCGTGACATGTCCACTCTTAAAACCTGTTTTGGTGATACCAAAACCTTAAATGGAGATTTAGGGTCAGGGTTAGCCTGAAATCACATTAGGCCACACTCAAATAACATTCCCTTAAATTTACCAAACTAAGAGATATGTCAGACTTTTATAAATAACTTTACAATCGAGGGAAAACAATCAGATAAGGCTCCCCCAATCCTTTAAAAGGGAGAGTAACTTTCAATTGAAGTTAATATACTCGAAGTCTAATCTCAGGGTGGGAGCTGTCTTGGCCCAAGCAACCGCTGATCGAAGATAGACTGAACACGGTTGCCCTCTTGTGGCCACAGAGAGAATAGCATAAAGATCTAAATGAGTTCACCAGCCCTGTGCTTGAATTGACTTGAAGACATTTGGCATCCATGATACCAGCTTGAAAGCTCATTCAACTCTTAGGCACATTAACACTATTGTGTTTTTTTTAATACTGCAGAACCTCAACCTTCGTTCATGTTGATATTTCTGCTTCCACACATAACTAGGACCTCACCAGGCCAGAGCAACATCTATGACCTGAACAGAGGGGAGGAGGAGGAGGATGAGTCCCCTGAGGAAGCCATTGTCATCCCCAGTTATCCAGAGGGTGGGTTTGCATCCAGGGCCATTCAGCTGGTTTTGGTTTGAGATTTTGTGCAGAGCAAAAAAAAAAAAAAGACATTTCTGTCTCTTATTTCAGCTTATCTAAACCTGAACACAAATGCCACCACAAGAGGGGACGCTCAAGTGAGTGGACACTGAGCAGATATTAAAGATCATCACTGTAAACCTACAATATATCCTGGTGTGTTCACTCATTTTCATATTGACTTTCCACAGGCCTATGTGGAGCTGAATGAGCTTCAGGAAAACACTTGGCAGGAGACCGCCCGCTGGGTTGGCTATGAGGAGAACTTTGACCCTGCCACTGGAAAATGGGGCTCCTCTCATGTCTCCTATCTCACCTTTAAGAGCTTGATCCAGCTCCGCAGGACCATGACCTCAGGTAACCCTGAAATTATGTCAAAGTTTGTTTCAAAGTAAAATCCTTTAATTTGATGAGCAGCTCAAAGCAAACTGAAACGTCCTCAGGTGCTGTCATCTTTGACCTGAACGCCAGCAATCTGTCTACTGTGGCTGAGAAAGTGGTGGATGAGCTTCTGAACAAGGGGGAGATCCGCTCCGGTGATCGGGATGGGCTGCTCAGAGCTCTCCTCATGAGACGCAGGTACCCCACAACACCCATTCTCTCTCTCTCTCTCTCTCTCTCTCTCTCTCTCTCTCTCTCTCTCTCTCTCTCTCTCTCTCTCTCTCTCTCTCTCTCTCTCTCTCTCTCTCTCTCTCTCTCTCTCTCTCTCTTTCGAGATGACAGCCTTGCAGAAAAACAATTCACAGCATAACTATTAGCTCATGTGATCTGCCCTTACAGTCAGACTGGAGCACCTGATGTTACTGGCTCTGGAGCCATTGAGATGCAGACTTTTTCTGTCACCAAGAAGGTATGCTGTTATAACACACACTTTTGTAACATTTATCATTTGATGCCATTTAGATAACACCACAACTGCACTTGTTTTCTTTGTAGAGGGACAGCGCTGACAACATGGAGGCCTCAATTGTCCTCTCAGGTATTTTCCCTTATTCAGATGCTGTTTTGTGGTTCAAAGTTTTTGCTCTGAAGCTGAGAATAAAAAAAAACATTTCCTTCTACAGGTACCTTGGACGCCCTGCAGAAACCGGTGGTGGCTTTTGTAAGGCTCAAAGACTCTGTGGTGATGGAGTCTTCCCTAGAGTCTCCTGTCCCTGTGCGCTTTGTCTTCATGATGGTGGGGCCCAGCCAGAGCGGCATTGACTACAGTGAGAGTGGGCGCGCCATGGGTGCTCTGATGGCTGACTGGGTGAGAGAGGACAGACCATTAAAGCTACACAAATGGCCAAATACAGGGTGGCCTTTTTTCCCTGATAACATGCTCAAAGAAGGAAGCTCAAATGCTGTTAAATGATTGTCTTTTACTGGAGAAGAACTCGTTTGATAAATAATTTTCATTTTACTATATACAAGAGTTGAAATGATAATAGACAGCATAAACCACATCTTTGTTGTCCAGTGTGTCAAATCCTATCAACAAAACGGCTCTTCTTCTCTGTAGTAGTCTAGTTTAATCAGTTTTTGACATTTCTGCACCCACAGGTGTTCTGCCTGGAAGCCTTCTTAGCACAGACTGACAAAGATCTGACCAATGCTATCGCTGACTTTATGGACTGCAGCATTGTGATCCCTCCAACTGAGATCCAGGATAGGGGGATGCTTGAGCCAATCATCGAGTTCCAGCAGAAGATGCTGCGTGACAGAGTCCGCCCAGCTGACAGCCGTCTCGCCTTTGGGGACAGGCTCAAAGGTCAGCTGTCAGATATCTTTGCATTGTGCTTGAAGGTCAGAAGAGTGGTTCAGGTTTGCCTGTAGGCCCTCTCAAGTCATATTAAGACACTTTCCTATTCAGGTGTTTAGATACACACCCTATTGATAGTCTATTGAGCACACAAAGTGCTATTCAATTCAAACCACTGAAACATATATAATATTAAAATATAAAGTTTTTTAAAACAAGGCAAAAGGAATAATAACCACATGCATAAAACTTTATCTTTGAATCACCAAAAATGTAGACTTGCTATGGTAGAAAACAAAGTCGATATTAACGTTTGATATGTGCAACTGTCCAGCTGATAAACCACCCGAGGAGCCGCGAGAGGACCCTCTGGCTCGCACAGGCTATCCATTTGGCGGTATGGTAAAGGACATAAAGCGTCGTTACCGCCACTACATCAGCGACTACACAGACGCTCTGAACCCCCAGGTCCTCGCTGCCGTTATCTTCATTTACTTTGCCGCCCTTTCCCCGGCCATCACTTTTGGAGGACTTCTGGGTAAAAAAAGAAAAAAGAAAAGAAACATATGTGTCTTCATTTATCTGCAGGAGTTTCCAACTTTGAGGTTTACTCCTGTTGTTTTTGTTTTTACCTCAGCTGACAAAACAGAAAAAATGATGGGTGTGTCAGAGCTCATGATCTCCACCAGCATCCAGGGTGTCATCTTCTGCCTCATAGCCGCCCAGCCAGTCCTCGTCATCGGCTTCTCTGGACCACTCTTGGTGTTTGAGGAAGCTTTTTACGCTGTACGTACAGTACAACTCAAACTGCTCACAAATCAGTCAAAATAGAACAGTTTTTTCTTTTAACACCTATCTTTATTCATTTCATGTTACTGTAGTTCTGCAAGACACAGGGCATTGAGTACATTGTGGGGCGCATCTGGGTGGGGATGTGGCTGATAGTGATTGTGATCATCATCGTGGCTGTGGAAGGCAGCTTTCTGGTCAGATTCATCTCCCGCTTCACCCAGGAGATCTTCTCCATCCTCATTTCACTCATCTTCATCTATGAGACCTTCAATAAGCTCTTCAAGGTTTCCCTAATTTCTTCCCATCATCCATGTCACACAAATAAACCATTTCATCATCAGTGTATCTGCATTCTTTTGTCTCTCATTTTGCTTCCATCTAACTTGTTTTCTGTCTCTACTCAGATTTTCAAAGCCCACCCTCTGATCCTGAACTACGACCATCTGAACGACACAGCGGACAATCCCTTCCACCCGGTCGTCAAGGAGCACAAAGAGTTCCACCCAGATGGAAATGTAACAGTTCTAGAGCTGGAGATTGAAAGGCCCTACCCCAACACTGCCCTTCTGTCCATGTGTCTGATGTTTGGTTGCTTCAGTATCGCGTTCTTCCTCCGCCAGTTCAAGAATGGTCATTACCTCCCTGGCTGGGTAAAGTGACATCTGTGTGTGTTTCTGAGTCTGGGGTAATATTGTAATATTGCTTGTTTCTCAGATAAAACACAATGAACACTTGAAGAAAATGCCATGTCATAATCATACATTAAAAGAGCATTTCACTCCTTTTGCAACCAGAGGAGTCACCTCCTACAGGCCTATGACATTCACTTACACTGACCTCACTTTTCAAACCCAAAGCCTACAGGTCCTCATCCTGTTTACTGTAAGAGTTTGTTTAGTTGTCAGACCGATGTTCTATTGACAAAAAAAATCAGCTTTTGCATTTTAACCGTGGTGTGGTGCTCTTTGTTCTTGTTTCACCAGCTCCGTCGCTTGATTGGAGATTTTGGTGTCCCCATTGCCATTTTCTTCATGATTGCTGTAGACATCAGCATTGAGGATGCTTACACTCAGGTAAGTGCTTTGCAAAGGTTAGAAAATCCCTTAGTCAAATGTATCTGATGACTTAGTAATTCTGTGCCCACACTCCCAAAAATTATGTTGGTTCAGCTCCATTTTTAATTTATAATCTTGAGGATGAGATTTGCTCAAATTAGGATTAACAGCAATTGCAAAAAAAGAGACACAACCTTGTTGCATGGCAAGAGGGAAGGAGGCTTCCAGAATGCTGGGCTCTGGGATGCTGGGGAGGGCCTTAAAGGGACAGTGCCTGGAATGATGCCGGAAATATGTGAAGACTTTGTTCAACAGTGAAACATGTAAAGCTGCTAAGAAGCTATCAGAGGGGCATTATAAAAACAAACAAATCAGATCAATACCCCCTTTTTAATGTAACAGTAGATTGTAGGAGTCGTTCTAGTATTTCGAGTAAAATTTCAAAGCACATTTTTGTAATCCATGTATGACTGCAAACATCTGGACTATGGGGATCATAGCAGATTTACCGACATGTGTGTTAAAGTCAGAGACGCATTAGTATAAGAGGACGGTGTAAATGTCCAGGGTCGTAGAGAGGGGTTTGAAGTATGTATGAGTTTCAAAATCACAGTGAAAATTTCAGAGTGAAAAGCAAAAGCCATGCATTGTTTTGTGCAAAGGTATTAATGTAGCTCTGTATAATTTTACCTCAGGGTTGGATATTATACTTTTCATGTTAAATTTGCGAAATCTTACAGAAATAAGTGTCAGAATATTGAAATACTTCAGTGCAGTTTTTCCCACCACCGTCTGGTAGACTGTGACTGTAGGGAGTAAGCATTGATAGACCAAAATATTTCTCCATTGGTATTTTTCTTCCAATATTTAACAGTATGTATTTAACAGTTTCTAAGCATTCTTGGGTTAGTAAATGTGCACTCTCCTCCTGTCCATAAAAATGAATATATAGCTTCTTTCGCTGCTACCGTATCTTTCTAAAAACCCACACAATGTCCAGTCATCAAAACTATGAAAGAAATGCTGTATCTACCTTTCTATAATTTGCTGGTGATAAATGAGCTGACTGAGTTCCACCTTGTCTCCTTGCAGAAACTGGTTGTGCCAAAAGGTGTTGAGGTGACAAACCCCCAAGTCAGAGGCTGGTTCATTAACCCTATGGGAGAAAAGAAGGATTTCCCTTACTGGATGATGGGAGCCTGCTGTATCCCAGCACTGCTAGTCTTCATCCTCATCTTCCTGGAGTCCCAGATTACCACGTGAGTAATTCTATGAGTAATGTCACTGGAGACTGAAATATGAGTTTTTTTGGAGTTAAGAGATTTCCTTTGCTCTGTGAATTTTAAGGCTGATTGTGAGCAAACCCGAGAGGAAAATGATGAAAGGCTCTGGGTTTCATTTCGACCTGCTTCTCCTGGTCACCATGGGGGGCATCTCCTCTATTTTTGGGGTGCCCTGGCTGAGTGCTGCCACTGTGCGATCCGTCACTCACGCCAATGCCCTCACTGTCATGTCCAAAGGCCCAAAACCAGAGATTGAGAGCGTTATAGAGCAGAGGATCAGTGGGATTCTTGTGGCCATCATGGTTGGTGAGTGCTGCCATCTACTGTGTGTCAGCAGACACGTCAGGATGCAGGTTTAAATCATCTTTTGCTTTTCATAATCAACCCCTTTTACTATCTCTAGGTGTTTCTATTTTCATGGAGCCAATTCTGAAGATGATTCCCATGACAGCCTTGTTTGGTATTTTCCTCTACATGGGTATTACCTCTCTGAGTGGAATACAGATGTGGGACAGGATGCTCCTGCTGATCACACCAAAGAAATACCATCCTTCTGACGCTTATGCCACAAAGGTATGCAAACTGTGGCCAAACAACCAAGATCTTTACCGCTGGAGATTAGTCCTTCTCAAAGCAGCATCACTTCTACACATCTGGAAGGATGTGCACACTTTGTAACCACACTGCTTTCCAAACTAGAAAGCAGAAAAATGAAAATTTAAGAAATTGAGAATGAATTGAAAACTTGGGGGGTTACACTTTGTCATCTTTTTTAAATTTAAACTCTGGTGTATTTAGGTGTCTTGGTTTCTCAGTGTCCATTTCTTATTTTTTTTTTTGTTTGTTTCTTATATTGTAAAGTTTTGCATGTTTTGCACAAGACAATCTCAGAGACTTCCTATCTCCCCTTATTTATGCATGTTCCATCCCTGGACAATCATTATCCTATTATCTGTTTTTTACTAAGCAATCTCGCCAATGTCATGTATCTTCAGCTCATGATTATCTTACTAATGCCCTCTTTTGTTCCATGCAGGTGAGCACATTACGCATGCATCTCTTCACTTTCATCCAGCTCATCTGCCTGGCTGTCCTCTGGATGGTAAAGATCAGTGCTTTCTCCCTGGCTCTGCCCTTTGTTCTCATTCTCACGGTACCTCTACGGATGGTAATGACTGGCACACTCTTCACTGTCCGGGAGATGAAATGTGTAAGTACCTCTTTATGCTCACCACTGTTTTAACTTCATCGGGTTAGCTGAGATGTGGATTTCCGGGATGTAACTGGATGTGTTTGTGTTGCAGTTGGATGCAGATGATGCTAAAGTGGTGCTTGAAGAGGACGGTGAGGACGTGTAATACCTATAATTGCAACAAAGAACACCACTTGAGTCATTTTTATTCACCAACATTCAACTGAAATTAAAAAAAAAAAAAAAAAACAGTTGGCAAATATTGTCAAAATATCTAACATAGCTGTTTGTGACCATCAGCTTATACAGATTTAAGCTATTCTCTGTTTTTATTGTTCATGAAAAAGTACCTCTCATATCTAGAACTCATTCATTATTTCTGTTTGTGGACCAACTTATGTATCTACAACAAGAGCCCTTTAGCTTTTCACAATTATTTCTCATAATCATCTTTTGTCATTGAATTTCTGAGGACTTCACCTCTGTTTCTTACTTCAGGCTTTTTACTTACTTTTCTGTTGCGTTACAAGCAGAAAAAACACTTTATGTCTTTACATGAGCATTATTTTACCGTAATATGTGTGATTAGTTTATTAATAATGTACTAGTGTTTTACAATAGCTTGACAGTGCCTGACATTGAGTCATAATGTTACAATTCCCTTCAGCCATTCCAAATAAAACTACTTTTATGAAGAAAACCTGATCTTTTTTAACCTTCTTCACAGAACTGACAATGTTTTGTGTTTGCGGGATTATCACACCAGCCTTTTCCACATACAGAAGCCTTTGTTCATTCTCGAAATATGTTTTGAATTGTGGTGCTCTAGTTTGCCTCATTTGACATATTATGTATGGATTACTGAACAATCTGGTCCTTTCTGCTCAGCTGACCTGTTTGGATTATGTATATTATTATGTCTATTAACTTCAATTTTACTTTTATGTGTGTATTTGCTTCTTTGGTTCTGAAATAGTATGAGCCGTAGTGGATAGATAGTGGAAAAATAAGAAATATATGTTTTGACTGATTATTTTACTTCTATTTTGATCTGGAAAAATTCTGTTGTAAATCAATCTGTTGTCTTTTTGTGTTGTCTGGCATGTCTTTGTTTGCTTGAAACAATATACATGCCATGGAGTTCCATTTTATTTAAAATAAAAAAACAACCTGAATGTATTTGTTTCCATTTATATGGTAGAAGACACAACATTTTACATCAATCTCAGCCAACTTCACACATTAAGAGTTTGACATGTAAGGCCTGTCACTCAGCCTCATGCTGCATTCAAGTTAATACAGTTAATTACAACATTCAAAAACAAAGCAGACAGTACCACATTTTTTTGGGCTGAAGCCGGCAAACAAATTTTATTACTCTGCAGGATTTCACAGACACAACCCCTGAATTCAATTACATATTAAAATGTCTTTCTTTCTTTTTTATTTATCTCAAACTTTAAGAACAATATTATATATATATATAAATTAAAATTAAAATGTGAAATACAAACAGTGGCACAATATTTTGTTCAATACAAGGCACTACAAAAGAGGTCTTCCTTTGGAAATAATGCACAAGAAATTGATAGAAAAAATGTTAAAAAAAACAAAAACAAAAAACATTTCATTTTTGTTGAATGTGATTTATAATCCAAATATCATTAATGTGCTATTTAAACAGTAAAATAACCCTCAGGAAAAGAGACGCAAAAAATGAATATAAAGAATTTTCAAAAGGCAGATAATAAAAAGCATATTTTGATTTTACAAAGTGTCAACTTTGTTAACATAGGCTAATTATGATGTTTGTACATTAAGATTAACTGTCTTTCGTCTTTGATTATTTCCTAATTCATTCTTGCAACGTGTACATAAATAACCAACTTTCCGTATTCTTGTGTTTTCCAAACAACAACAAATCACGATGGTGCCTACACATGTGTAATGATCCCAGGATTTCCGATTCCACGGGAACGCAGCACAGTTTTACAAGGCTGAGTGCCTGAAAGTCATTTGTTTTCCGAGAGTCGGACTGACTGGATTGGACGGCCGGGGGTTCCGCCCACAAACACACAAGGTGGAGTTGAAAAGAAAAAACATGCTGGGCTAAATTGAAGCTGTCAAACAGCCTCATTCAATTTGCTAAAAGAGGAATCGAGCAATATGAAAAAGCATGGAGACTGCTTTGGAGACTTCCTAGATAGTTCTCCCAGAAGTGGACACCTTACTTTGCGAAGTAAACATGATCATATCGTGCAAAGCTTAATATTATAAGTCAATTACATAAAGTTACATGAGTTGAGGTTAAAACACTTGAATTTAAAACGGCAGGTAAAACTTTACATATTTTTGACTTAAAACATTCACTGTGCAAACCTCGGCTGAGGATCAGACAGGTTCGGCGGTAGTGGAGTTAAAATATTCACCCACAGTTGGGTTCAGAGACAACGGAGCAAGATCGGAAAATATGAGGATGTCTCGGCGTGGCGAAATGGTTGGATGGAGAGAGAGGAGCTGCTGCGCGATGAGTGGAGGGAGACGGCGAGAGAGATGGAGGCGGGGGGGAAGGACCATCTCTGCGGGGACTAGAGCCCAGGACCGACGGCGCAGTGCTGGCTAACGTTCAACCCTCCCCTTCTTCCTCCACAACCAGACCGTGGCTCACGCCGAGAGACAGGTAAGCCAACAAACACGCCGCCTGGTTTCATAATATATCGAGGGTGCGCGGCAAATACGTTCGGAAAACCACAAAAAGCCGCTAAATCGGTGTTTGTGGTTTGCAAATGTTTCTTTTTACACGACTCAGTCGGCAGCCTCTTTGTAGAAACGAAACATACCGACAGCTGTAGCAGGGTAGAGACGAGGTCGGCCATAGCCGGATTTCTTGTCCTCTACAGCGGGGGAGAAATTGAACATTAGACCTGGAGGTAAATGTGTTACTTTCTTAAATTTTTGACAAACGGGTGATTCATGCTATCTTCTTTAATCGAAACTCGGTTATTCGTGCTGTAAGTGGGGCACTTGAGCTGGGGTATTAACGGTAGTTTCCGCGCCGAGACCTCCATGCGGCTGTTGGCGGAACAACCAGCCGCCTCTCTCGGTTAGCCATCAGGGATCTCGGTTTAATATCTCACCGTGCAGAGACTCGCCCTCTCTCTCCCTCTCTCTCTCTCGCTGACTATCCTAGAACCACCGACGACCGAGCTCGGAGAACCCGCCTTCTTGATCTAGCTTATGCGCTTTTGGATCGAGGGAAGGGAGTCTGCAACGCCTTGGCTTTAGTTTTAAGCCTCGTTTTCCCTGTTTGCAGTGCGCCATTGGACCTTGTCACGGTAGGTTTCCTTGTCGAGCTGAGCTGAAGCATGGCGGATCTGGAGCTGTTTGTCGCGCCTGTGAAGCTTCTTTGCCTCGGATGTTACCATGTTTCCTTTAGATATTGTAGCTCACTAAACAGACAGTTTGACAGCGCGACAGAGTTGCCGAAACCGTTTATGAGCGTTAAAATAACCCGTTTATGAAGTAAGGTCGAGGCTGTGATGTTTAACCGCTACAATTATTTTACATTTTCTCTTTCTTCCTGCGCCTCCGCAAGCCCTTCCAGCCCACCACCGCGGAAATTTTCTCGGACGCGATATTAATTCGTTAAAAATTCTCTTACAAGAATCAACGAAGAATATGATTCGTTTCAGTATTTGATAGTTTTATTAACAAATTATTTCGAATACCCTGTAAACAGGAGGCACGAGTCTAGCCACGGAAAAGCAGATTTTAATTTTATTTTAACAAGCCTCAAGTTTTGCATTAAACTCTTTAACTTTTGATAAATAAATTCTTGCGAACAGATATTTATGACAAGCCTAATTTCAATCTCACTTGGTGTGCCAAGTTGCCCTTGGTCATGTTATGCATCTGCTCTAAAATTGTATGATGTATATTGTCAAATAAAATTTAATTTAATCCCATATGTGACGATCCACGCATTGTAATCATAAGTTTTAAAGACGTTTTAGTTGCATAAATGTTGCTAAAGATAGCTCTGACACGACCAGGTCACGCCGTGAACACCATGGTGAGCTGGGGCCACCAAGGACACGATGAACAACGAGCAGCCGCCATCATTGGAGCACAGCTCGGCTACGCCTCGCTGAAGAATGCACTCGGTTTTTCCCCTAAATTGTGCCACTGTAAATGCTTAAACGAAATAAGGCTGTCTAAAAATTAAATGAAAACACACTGACACATCGTAAGCGAATATAATCACGATTTCCTCGCTCAGGCTTTCGTAAACATTGAAGGAAAAGATTATAGGGTTGCATGGCGGAGCTAGATCGGCGTCCATCGGTGATGAGGCGCCACTACCGAGTGGCGCATTTGGATGCAGTACTTCCAAGCCACCATTCCCCCTCGTCGGAGACCGAAAGCAGATCCCCCGTCCGTGGTCAGCTGGTTGCCTACAGCTGCCTGTCCGTCCACGTCCATTCGCTTCCTCCTTCCGTGTATCCACCCCAACCTCCGTTGCGACAGAAAATCCTCCATTACTGAGCGGACCGAGTTAGAAAATGGTTGCTCCAGTGTGTCCACGATACTTTTGTTGCGGAATAAGGACAGTATTAATACGCCAAATTCCAGCTGGCGAAATTTGCTCGACGGAGACTCCTGATGTCGTAGCTAGTTGTGCTAGTTGAAGCCCTCCGCAGTGTTATTTGAGATTTGAAGCCGTCACAAGCAATAGCCTATGTCTCACCATGTAGCGTAAACGTTTAAGGGGCGGTGTAATGAACATAAACCATTATGTCGAGGCACATTTAAATCCCTTCACAAATTGAAATCCAACATCGTATTTGATTTTATATCACTAAAATTCACTTTTTTTCAGAAATCAACGTCTTTCGTTTAATAAGAAACAACACAAAATCGTTTTTGAAAGTTTTTATTCTTACCAAAGGATGCATTTTTTATGTTTTTTAGGGTGCTCACATAACATTATTGTTACAATATAAGTTATTTGCTCTTTTCTCTTTTTAATTTAGATAACTTAGTCCGAATTTTTTTTTCTTTCTTTCTTTTTTTTTTTTTCAGATAGCAGACTGAACACCCACAAATGAATGGAGTAATGGATGCATCCAACCAAGGCCAAGGTGAGGTTTTGGGACAGTGTTGCTAACAAGTGGCACATTTTTACAGATCTATAATTACAACACATCTACTTTTATTAAAAAAATGTATGAATCCAAAGTTTTATTTTACTGGCCTTAACAGGTCCCTTAAGTAACCATATCTTTATAAAAACACACCATGTAGATGTTTAACATTTTACTATGAATGCAATATGTCTTTTCTGCTCAGGTAAATTATAATCAGAAAAAAATAGATTCAAACTGTGACTTATGGTTTTGAGGTCTCTTCTATCACACAGTGTGGGCGCAGGATGACCTCTTAAAACTCCTGGAGGCCATGAAAGTAGCCTTGCCTCAGAAAGACCTTACGAAATACAAAACTTCTGAATCCCACCTTGACTGGCAAAAGGTGGCCTTCAATTCCTACACAGCTGAGATGTGCAAACAGAAGTGGCAGGAGGTCTCTAAAGAGGTGGGGCATGTTTGATCTGATTACTATTGTGGTTATAATTGTATGTTCTCCTTTTTATTATTTTTTTTACAAGTTTTTCTTTTCCACCAAAGATTCGTAAATTCAGGACCCTAACAGAGCTGATCATTGATGCCCAAGACTACATCAAAAACCCGTACAAGGGCAAGAAAATAAAGGTGAGCTAAATGCTTCATGTAGAGTAGCAGTTGAAAGAAGTTGCATCTGGTTGGATCTGAAGACTTGTGTATAATACACCTACTTTCCCCCTTAATACACAGAAACACCCGGATTTCCCCAAGAAACCCTTGACTCCATACTTCCGCTTCTTCATGGAAAAGAGGGCTAAATATGCTAAATTGCATCCTGAGATGAGCAACCTGGACTTAACTAAAATCCTCTCAAAGAAGTACAGAGAGCTGCCAGACAAGAAAAAGGTCTGTCAAATCAAAGACATAAAATACACTTCACTAAAGACATCTTTCCAAACAACAAACTTATTGCTTTCTTTTTTGTTTCCTCAGAAAAAGTATGTAGACGACTTCTTAAGAGATAAAGAGTCATTTGTACAAAGCATGGTGAAGTTCAGGTGAGATTGTTCATGAATATTCACAATTAAATGTCATTAAAACAGGTTATTATTAGGATTTCATCTGCAGTATATTTAGGAATTTAAAGGATGTTTCCATGCTGTTAATACAGGGAACAACACCCAGACCTTATGGAGAGCATGACCAAGAAAGGATCAAATGTACCTGAGAAGCCCAAGACACCCCAGCAGCTGTGGTACAACCACGAAAAGAAGGCTTTCCTCAAGACACGCCCCGATGTAAGTGTAGCAGCTGCAGCACAGCATACAAAAGAGCATCTTTTACCCTAATAACCTCAAATGTTTCACTGTAAACTTCAGGCCACCACCAAAGACATCAAGGACAGTCTTGGCAAACAGTGGACACAGCTGTCTGACAAGAAGAGACTCAAATGGATTTCCAAGTCTCTTGAGCAGAGGAAACAGTATGAAGTGAGGACTGTTTAGGTGAACTTTTATGGAGACAAGTCTGTCTTTTCTTCAGTTGTAACGCCATTTCATTCACATTATTATAGGAGACAATGCGAGAGTACATCCAGCAGCACCCAGAGTTAAACATGACCCAAGACGATATTGTGAAGTCCACTTTGACAAAGGCTGAAAGGCATCTGAAGGACAAATCTGACGGCCGGCCTGACAAACCACCTCCGTGAGTCATGGCTGCTGACACTCCGCTGTGTGTTCTGTTGCCTTGTGTGTGAGTTACTTGAATGTAATGCATTATGTCCTTTCAGAAACGGTTACTCGATGTTCTGTGCTGAGCTGATGTCAAATATGAAGGATGTTCCCAGCACAGAGCGTATGGTAATGTGCAGCCAGCGGTGGAAGCAGCTGAAACAGGCTGAAAAAGATGGCTACCAGAAACGCTGTGAACAGGTGAGGTCAGACTCAACAAGTCCCATCATTCTGATTTTTAAAACAAATCTATTGAACCATGTTTGACTTTGTTTTTCAGAGAAAGAAGGAGTATGAGATTGAGATGAGCCGATTTCTCAGTGTAAGTTGTAGATTGTTGTTTTGCTTCATCTTAATGGTGGGGTTTTGTCATGCTTATTTGTGTGCTGCAGTATTTTGCAAAGGATAACTCATGGATTATTTTTCTGCTGTGCCGCTCCACAGAGTTTGTCTGAGGAAGAGCAGCAGCGAGTCTTGTCAGAGGAGAAGGTGGGTTTCAAGAAGGGCAGTGGAGCCAACAGTCCTGCATCGAAAAAGAAGAACTCGAAAGCTAAGGTAAAATCAAGTTTTTACGCAACACGAGTCGCTTAAACGACTTAAACGCCAGATTCTGTCAGGCTCAAAATGAAACAACTCTGATCAAATCAGTCTTTACATATATTCAAAGAAATAAGCTATCATGGCAGTTGAGTCTAAGTTCCTCTCTTTAACTCACAGGCCAATCCAGAGAAACCCAAGAGGCCCATTTCGGCCATGTTCATTTTCTCTGAGGAGAAGCGTCCAAAACTGCAACAGGAGCGGCCCGACCTCTCTGAAAGCGAGCTCACCAGACTTCTGGCTCGCATGTGGAATGAGCTGCCGGATAAGAAGAAGGTAACCTTACAATGTGGTGCACCATATTTAGAGGAACAGGATGTAGATATAAGGATACTGAGCTAAATCTAGCTGTCAGGTTCTACATAGAATCACTTCTTTGCTCACCTGTTGTGTAGATGAAGATCCATAAACAATGGATGATTCATGATAGGTATTATTCTCCAAGTTTTAACCTCCAAAATTGACCATCAGTAGGGATTCTTAAGCATCAACCACTATTTTTTTTTCCAGCTACTGTGCGGCTGTTACCGGTTTGTTTGTTCTGTGCTTCTGTAGACAAACAATGATGCAAGGAAGCTCCCATGCTAAAAAGGGACCTGCCTTAATGGAGATCCAGTAGGCTTATTCTAAGTGAAAAAACTTAAATATTCAGGTAGTGCAGGGCTTGACGTATTTACATGAAAAAACATTTGTTGCCTCAGCTGATTTTTTTATGCGCACATGTGCCCCTAAATACATTTTACAATTCGCACATATCAATTTTTAGTCGCAAATGCGAGTTCAAACAGTTGCATTGTCGAGAAGTCTGTTCTACCAAACGTCCCTTATTACCACATACTGTACCTCTCAATCTACAAAATACATGTCAGCCGTCAGAGTGGTTTTTAAGCGTGAATTTCTGAAGAAAATCCCCTTTTTTGTCTCTGTCTTGCAGGAGAAGTACAAACGCCTTGAAACGGTCCTGAAGGCAGAGTCAGAGAAGAAGGAACGAGAGGATCGTAGTCGTCTACCTGACCCACCCAAGACTGCACAGGAAATCTGGCAGCAGAGCGTGATAGGAGACTACCTGGCCAGATTCAAGGTAAGTTTTGATTTTGCCAATTACACTGCATACACTGGCCAGCTGCTATTAAGAAATACCGCCTTAAAGACTTCAGAGAGGAAGTGAAAGGATACATGTTTGTAAGTTGTAAAAAAAGTACAGATTTGTCAGGTTGGAAGAGACCAACAGTACTGAGAACAAAGTGTTAGTGGTGAACCACAGGCTGAACATGGACAGAGCTAGAAAATACACCTAAATAACCTCTTCAGTTATAATAAATTGTTAATCTGGGGTTTGCAGAACGACCGGCCAAAGGCACAGAAAGCCATGGAAGGGGCCTGGAGCACCATGGAGAAAAAAGAGAAAATAATGTGGATCAAAAAAGCAGCAGAGGACCAGAAAAGATACGAGGTAGCCGCACTTCACTGACATGCCGTCTTGTCAGAGTCTGCCTTTTTGCCTGAAAGATCAAGCTTGACTCTGATTCTCCCCCAACAGAGGGACTTGTGTGAGATGCGCTCACCTGCTGCTGCCATCGCTTCAGGGAAGAAGATGAAGTTTGAGGGTGAACCCAAGAAACCACCATCGTGAGTTGGTCTAGCTTCCCTGTGTTACCTATGTGTATGAGTATGTATCTGCTGAAACCTGGGAGCTGACTGTATTTTTTTCTTTTTTTACACCCGTAGAAATGGATATCAGAAGTTCTCTCAGGAGATGCTGTCCAATGGGGAGCTGAATCACCTCCCCATGAAAGAGCGGATGACTGAAATCGGCAGCCGCTGGCAGAGGCTACCTCTGAAGGACAAGGACCGCTATAAGAAGATTGCAGAGGAGAAGCAGAGACAGTACAAAGTCACCCTGGAACAGTGGCTCGCGGTAAGATGTTTTTTTTGTTTTTTGTTTTTTTTTGAGGCAAGAAATACTGAAGAAGCCCTGAACTTTACCTCACATGTACTTTGAATCTCCACAGAGCCTGTCTTCACAAGAGAGAAACACCTACAAAGAATATAACTCACAAGTAAGCCACTTCTTCTACTCTTGTTGGTTAAACTTAATTGTAAATTAAACTGTATGATTTTTAGCTTAATGATGCGTGATGTTTCAGAAAAGGAGAACTACAGCGAAACCAGGAGGCCCCAAGGCAAAGACCAAGAAATCTGTGAGCGCAGACTCTTGTTGTTCAGTAAATCTGCTCTAGATGTGTACTGTCATGATGTTCTGACTGGAAATATCTCTCCAACAGGACACAGAAGAAGAAGAGGATGATGAAGATGATGATGACGATGAGCAGGAGAAGGCTTCCTCCGAGGCAGATTCATCCAGTGAGGATGAGGACGACGATGATGATGATGTAAGTTGCGTCTTTCTTTGCCGTCACACAATAATAATGCATAATGATGAGTGTGTTAACTGTTTGTGTTTTTTTTCGTATGTTTGAAGAAGGAGGATGATGATGACGATGAAGACGACGACGATGATGACGAGGCAGAGGACAAGGAGAACAAGTCAGAAGACAGCAGCAGTGAGTCAAACTCACAGGGGTCATCGGACTCTGATTCAGACTGAAATGCCGTCGTCTCTGAGGAGACGAACTGAGCAGCGCTGAGCTGAGCCAAGAGTCAAGGGAGCTCTGCCACTGTGCCAACCCTGCTCTCCTCCCACCACCAGAGGGAGTCCCGCATTGCCTCATCAACTTCACTCTCATCCACTTTATGTTACTGCGCTGGCAAATTTTCCATGGAGGGAACTCACCCCATGTTTAAGTTCAGTTTCATTCCCTCCCTCCCTCCCCCATAGTGTGACGGTCATCCCACAGCACCGCCACAGGGCCGCCGATGTTATGCCAAAAAGAGCATCCCACTGGTTTGGTGATGTCGTGAACATTTCTGCCGCTGGTTGAACTCTGGACTCAAAGGTTCAATGGTTTAAAGGTTAGAGTTTTAACGTGGAGGGTGACAAATCACTCTTCAGTGTTTTATTTTGTATGATTCTGGTTTATGTTGAAGACAGGTAACTCGAGATGTGAACAGGCTTCATAGAGCCAAAGAACATAGTAATGTGGATCGCTTTACAGATATGGGGGGTGTGGGGTGGGGGGCTGTGCAGGGTACTGAAAAATTGCACTCTTCAGAATGTTTCCATTCATTTTTATTTTCTTTTCCAGAACATTGTTGTGTTTTTTTCCCTATGATTTCCAATTGATGATGTAGATTTTATCGTTTGGTTCTTAAAGAGGTGGTATTTTTTCAGGAAAAAAATCAAGCCATTATGAATGTTTCATTTTTCTAGCTGGAAAATTTCAGAATTGTCACTCACCTGTTTTCTTGTTCAAAATATGACAGTGCCTACATAAAGTATTCACCCACTCTTGGACTTTTTTTTATATGAATCATTTTGTTGCACAACACTGAACCAGAGTGGATATCATGAGGCTTCATTTCCCATTCTTAAAAAAAAGGAACTCTGTGAGAGAAATGCTGAAACACTTTTGTTAAAATGGGCTATTTTCTAATGTTTTTGTCACAAACTAGACTCTAAATGAAGCAGCCCCTGACTAAGAGAGCTGTTTTAAGAAAGAGACACTTCAAAAGTTGTATTTTAATGAAGTGCAACTTAAAAAAAAATGTCACCCTTTTTAAATATTGAGTGAAGGCAGCTTTGGCAACAGTAACGGCCTTTTGCGTGGCTCTCTGGTAGCTCTGCAAGTGCAGAGGTGATAGTTCCCTTCTTATTTGCAATCAAATTGCAGTTTGATCCAGATTCTGCTGCTTTTGCGCTGACACAGCTCACAGTGTCTATAGTCTTACATTGACAGAACTTTTACAGATTGACCTTACAGTAGTCTCTGGCCCATTATGTGCCTTTTTAAAATCTTATATCCTGACTTTGTGTTTTTAGTACTGAAAACACATTATCTTCACCAGCCTGTACTTAAAGTGAAGTTTTACTTACAATATGATTTCATTTGACGTCAAGGAGTAATTTCTAAGTGTTTCATCCACTGTGCTTTAGTGTTGTAATGCAAAATGATGGTGCAAAGAGTGGTGGATACTTTTAATAGGAACTCTATTTACATCTGTTAGTCTGACCAACATGTCTTGGTCTTGTCGTGCAGAGACCCATAAGTCTGCAACCATTCTTTTTTTCTGATTCTGGTCTAGCAGTCATCTTGTGTGTTTATTGTGAGACCAGATCACTTTGTCATTAAAGGGGTTAACATTTCATTTTCCACATTTCAAGTTCAGTCTGCCTGTTTTTTTAGAGTTTGTCATACAGTTAGCCTCTGTTTCTTCTCTGAGCTGTTGCGTCATTTCCATTTTATCGGAGGTTTTGTTTCTTTGAGGTTTTAGCTGTCATGCTCTCATCCATGTGGAGCCACTGTGTGGATGTTTGAATGACTGAATGGTTCTCATCAAAGTTTTGAAATTTTAGTGGTATTGACTGTAATCTCTGAAGGTTGCAGCCGGATGCTTATCCCAAAAAAAGTGTGCACTTATTGTTAAACTGTCCCTCTGTGTGTGTTTGGGTGCAAGCATACACAGAACTGTGTATATATGGGGGTGTGAGTGTGTGTTTCTTTGCTCCAGTGTGTGCTGTTTTTACTGTTTTGTTGTTGTATACCATGATGTGATTGCAGCGTGCATGTTCGTGCCTGTTTGGGGACATCTTACCAACACCATGAATGTAGATATTGTTAATTTTGTTTTCCTCCAAAGGTCTTAAGTATTTTTTGTTGCTCTGCGCTGTCATGTCGTCAGTCACCCAAAATGGGTCTGATGATAAGACTTCATGACTGTCATTTTGGGTCCACAGACAGATTACAACTACCAATAATCTGGTTTTAATGGACTGATTTTGACCCAACGGATTGTTGTCAATGTCTGAAACAAAACCAGCTTGGACTATTTAAGTAATTTGGGGAGGGTCTAAGGAAACTGAGTGCTGTAATTGGTTGATACGAGTTATAAAAGGGACTCAGGAGTTGCAAGAATTGGGGTTTAAAATAACTTGTAATTTTTTTGTAAATACTGTTTTTGTAATGAGTGCTTATTGTTTTTTTGTTAGTGCTTTGACTTTGCAAACCCTCATCTGTGACTTCTGAGGTCAGAACTGAGTTTTTCAGTCACATGGAGAAGGTTTTTGGTTCAGTTCACCTGTTTCGTTGTTTCTTCTCTCCGTTCTGTTGGTTCATAGAGATATCTAAGACAGCAAAGCTTTACAAAGTTTGTACTGCTGATCATTTGACAAGATTTGATGTTTTCTATAGCTGAGGGTGTTCTTATGTCCTTGTAGTTCAAGTCTTTGGGCAAATAAAAAAAGATCTTCAATAAGTGTGTGTTCTTTTGTTTAACTTGCACAAACACAGAAAATGGAGAAGTTAAGTAATATGAGAATCACCCTTCTACTCTTCTCTTGAGGGGAATTTAACATGAGTAACCTAAGACAGCTTCTTGACCAGAAAGAAATGTACCAATTAAATGACCTACAATTAACCAATCCACAGTTCAACTTATTCATATAGAAAAGGACAGGACTGTCAGCTGGGCATACTAAAATGTCAAAAGGCTAAAGGATTCCTAAGCTATTTCTGATCAAATTTGAAAAAATATATAAAAATAAGTCTATTTTTTTTTAGTTAATCTAACCAAATTGATCAATATTGATATTTCTAGGACTTCTAGTTTAAAAAAAGACAGTATTTTAAAGGATTTGAAGATATTGCCATGAATAGTTCATTTTTTTCTGTTCGGGCTTTGTGTTATTGGAGACGTTCTGGTGCTATGAGAAAAGAACTGAGCTGAGATCAAGCCTGTTAGTTGAACCGGAACCTTGCCAAATGTACCTTCAAAATAAAACCATACACGAACTCCTACCTGCGTCACAAAACTATCCTCACTACTTTAGAGTGTAGACCATGGGCCCAATTTGAGGGATTAGAACTGGAGGCCCTTTGATAATGAAAGACATCTATCAGGTGAAATCTACATAATCATGTTTCTAATATATTACATAGACAATGGATGAGCCGTACAAGTATAAATTCCTGCTGTATTATTCATTAGAGACAGAAGGAAATAATTATTATGGGAAAATTAAAGCTATGAGTAACTAGCAATGATATCACTTATTATTCCACAAAAAGTTGTCACCAGAAAATTTACAAAAGTGGTAAAAATCGGTCACTCCGATTCATTTATTTCTCTGGGTGTAAACTGTAAATGCTTTTATTTTGAAGGGTTATATCCGGAAGTTGGTTGCTTTGCCCTCCTGTTTGATCCGTTACCGTTGGCCTCGTCGGTGCCAGTCAGGTCTGTAACGCCCGTTCAAGTGACACCTGCCATAACGAACAACAGTGAAAACGACGATGTGTGCTGTGTTGAACCGGCGGTAAGGATGTCTCCTGCGGGCATCCGGGCACCTCGTTAACGTTCATCTTTGTGCAGTGAAATGGTTATGTCGGCTCCCTCAGAGAAAGTGCCTGTTTCAGGCTGAGTTTTCGTCATGACCTGGTAAGAGGAAACAGTTTGTGGGTGAAATTAAAAACATGACGTCATTGAATCGTTACCGGTATGTTGACACGAGACAGCCAAGCAGCTAGCAGGAGTAGTAAGGTAATGCTAACTGTTAAAAGTAGGCTAATGTTAGCTGATGTCAAACAGTGTCCAGTTTGTCAGTAACCGCGGTCTTGTCGTCCTGCAGCCTAATGCAGAATTTCCTGGGTTGTTCGGTTTGCCTTTTTATCTAATTAGCATTTAAAATGAGTGAAATAGAAGCTTGAATACACATCTGACACATGACATCACCCTCATGTGTTTGATTCAATTTTAGCAAAGACGGGTGCTGATGCAATGGTAGCCCAAAGTAGACATGCATCATTGTATTTATCTACTCCGTTTTCACCTGGTTAGTATTAATGTATGAGGATAATTTTCTGGTGATATAGAAAACAAAACATAGACTGGTCACTGTGATGGGCCAGACCATGCTGCCAATGCGGGCAGTAACGAGGTAAATAAGTCAAGATCAGATCAGATCAGATCAGAGCTCCTGGCCACAAATTCTGATCCAGCTTTATATAAGGGAGAGTGGGGTAAGATGAGCCATTTTTCATATTTCTGATCACTACATCAAGGCAATCATAGTTTTGTGTCTAACTAGTGTGTCTGCATATATTTCAAGATGTTGTGCATCCCTGCAAACTAACAAAATGAGTGTAAACATAACTGTCTTGATAATATAGCATGCCAAAAAAAGTGGTCTCGAATGGTTCACTTACCCCGTGTATGGGGCAAGTTGACCATAGGAGCGGGGTACGTTTAGCTGTATCCCTTCTTTCAAGAGTGAAAAATGTTTTTTGTAAATAAATGTCTAACCCCTTCACCCATGTGCTTCTAACCTTCACAGACTACATGAATTGATGCCCATCTCCTAAATATTTGGTCACATGATCAATTTCTTTCACCATTTCCAAGCGACTGGGGGTGGCTCAACTTACCCTTTGGCTCAACTTACCCTACTCTCCCATACGTATTTTTATATTCAGTATCAAGCCTCAGTTTGAGCCTTATATCTACACTTTTTTTCCTGTAGAAATAACAAAAAGAGACAAAATAACTACAAGATGGTTGATTCCATGTATCATAGTCAAGCTAGCACTATTTCAAAACTCACATATACCGTTGGGTGGGACCTACATAACTGGTATGCATGCATTACTGCACACCAGGCATGATGCCAGAGTTGTAATTTTGGATGGGCATGCTAATATTAAAGTTAACCTTCAACATTTACATCCCTGGACATGCTGACACTGGGCTAATAGACAGAATGAAATGACAACTGGTTGACAGAAAGAAAAGGTGGACGGTCAATGGGGAACTTGAACTTGCTGCTGGAATTTATGGCTGTGATTTTACTGTGTGAAGAAGTCTGTTCCTTTATTTGACACAGATTAATACTGTGCCATAGACTTCACATTGAGAAAACATGGACACACATTATTGAGAAGTTGGGGGGGGGGGGGGTGTTGAATCCCTGTCCTTCGCATGTAGCTCTCACTAATCCATATGCTGCAGCGCATGGGTAAATAAGTAACATGCACGCAAGCATGGGGCAAGTTCAACAGGCTTATTTGGATCATTAGGACCTCACACCTCATAATGACTTCACTTCTTTGAGAGGGAGAAGGGAGATTTTAGCTGTTTTATTGTATCAAATATCACATGTATATAAATTAACCAACAGAAAAAAGTCTTATTTTAACCCTGTCATTTAGGGTGGACCTGCTGTACAGTAAGAGTGGGCCCAGGCTCATGAGACAGTCAGATTCCTGATTTAGGAATTTGTTTGCTAGACCAAGAACATAAATACTGGTCTGTAGCTTGGATTTCATACATTATTTTCCTTTTTTTATTGCTATTTGTATCACAAAGTAGATTACATTATTATCTGACCTGGATCACCTTAAATTGAAAAGTAGAGGAATCACTCCAGTGTACTTGAGGCTTCACAAAGACAGGGTACAAATATTAGAGCTTCAGAGGTCTGTTGTAAAACTAATAGCAGTCAAAATATCTTGTATGTTGTCACAAAACGAAGACATCGAGCAAACATCTGAAATAAATAACTTCAAGAAAATGCAGTCAATAAAATGCATGGATAAATGTCTGCTCAGGGCTTCCGTACAATAGATATTTTGGAAGTATAGCGATTCATAAATTACCATTGCTGACAGACAGGATCAGTCTATTTTTTTTTCTGTCCAAATCTGCAGGTCAGCATCTCATTACTCTGCCATCAAGAGTTCCCATACAGAGTTTCCAATGAAAATGGAGGATATGCCCCTGTCAGGCCCAGACAACACCAAGCTGGAGGTGAGTAATAATGATACATTTGCATTCATCTAGTTTTCCTTTCACCTGTCCCCAAGATACAGCTGGGATGTCTTTACTCTAGTTTGATTTGATGCAGTCTATATACAGTTTTTTATTGACCTGTTTTCCTGTTTTAAAGGCCTTGGTCCATGACATCTACTCTGAACTAGTGGAAGATGCCTGTTTGGGCCTGTGTTTTGAGGTGCACCGCGCTGTGAAACAGGGCTACTTTTTCTTGGATGAAACAGACCAAGAGAGCTTGAAAGAGTTCGGTAAGTGCCAAGGCTTCCAGATAGTCCATGTCCATTTGTCCTCTCAGTCTTCTTTGACATATTGCTTTTAGCGTGCACCTTTCACTCCTCTTCTAGAAATCGTGGACCAGCCAGGAGTTGACATTTTTGGCCAAGTGTACAATCAGTGGAAGAACAAGGAGTGTGAGTGCCCAAACTGCAAAAGATTGATAGCAGCTTCACGTTTCGCTCCCCATTTGGAGAAATGTCTCGGCATGGGACGTAACAGCAGTCGCATTGCCAACCGTAGGTCAGTCAAGAGTGATTATTCAGGATTTAGCACCGTGTGTGTTCAAACTGAGTATAAATATCTGATCCGATTCTTTAACCTGTTTGCGTTCTTTCTTACAGGCTCGCCAGCAATAATAACATGAGCAAGTCAGAGAGTGATCAGGAAGACAATGATGACCTCAATGATAATGACTGGTCATATGGGGCAGAGAAAAAAGGTACAATTTAACTTTTTAAATGAAAACTATTACCAGTGAAACTTCAAGTCTCTTCCACATAACGAACAAACCTTTTTTCCATGTTACAGCCAAGAAGAGAAAGTCAGATAAGGTATTTGAACATTTGATTTCCCTTTTACAGACGATATAAACTGATGTCATAATTTTTTTTTGTTTAATCTGATTTGAATGTTTGTATGTTTATTTATTTTTTCCTTCAGAATCAAAATTCCCCAAGAAGATCCAGATCTTTAAAACATAAAAACGGTAAGTTAGTCTGAGTTCACAAAGTTCTTGGTTGGTAGAACTTTGATCCATGCATAATGTGGTGCAGACATTTGCTGCAGCAGCCGTGAGTTTCTTCTCTGGTTCATACAGCAGTTCTGGAGTCTGAGCCTTGATTATATTAAGATGTTTTGCACACAGTTCCATGAAGCAAAACACAGAAATCTGCTTCACTGTGCAAACCAGAGTGTAGTCTTAAGATAAGGACCCAAAGTAAGCCGACCTGAAGACTTCAACCTTTGTGCCTTTTTGATCTCAGCATGTCAGTCTTCTTTTCTGCGAATCAGATATTTTCCAAAAGTGCATGTGGTAAACAGGACCCACTTTTGTGTTTTATTTCCAGGGGAGCTCGGGGGCAGCGTTTCTTCAGAGTCTCACAAGGTAGAGGAAATTCTTCCTTTGTTCATTCATGATGCGTTCAAAAGCACTAAAGTCTTCCTATTATTTTTGTTCAGCTGACTGTATTGATGTCTTTCATTTTTAGTACAACTACAACACCGGCATCAGTTATGAAACTTTAGGCCCTGATGAAGTCCGATCCTTTCTGACAACAGTAAGCTTCCTCAGTAAAGAATCCAAGTATGCATCAGTTTTTCAAGCCGCCTTTTCACCACCCTCTTTCTTTTATTCCTCAGCAATGTGGGGTCATCTCCGAGCACACCAAGAAAATGTGTACCAGGTAATTACTGTAACACCCACCTACTCATGAACAGCTGATGAAAACCTAGCACAGAATAGTTTCAGGTACTTTAACGGTGGTCTTCTGACTGTGTCGCTTAATTCTGATCTCTTTCTGTGCTTCAGTTTGGCATTGAAATCCTGTCTGAACTGAAAAAGTGTTGATGCATGTGAAATCTGGACACATGATCAGTTTCATTTATGCCTTTTTGAAAATGATCATGTATCATATGTTGGGACTAACTCAGGGGTACACAAGTGGCAACTCAATGCATTTCATTGGTCACAAAAGTTTCTGGACCAGTGATTGGCTTGTTTTTATCCCCCAAATGAAACACCAAATTTAGCAAAACCGTTCTGAGGACTCTCTCAGTGACCAACCTATAAGTTAATACAACTATTAACCCCTCCTGATCCCTGTGCTGATCCTTCTCATTGGTCACTGACTGTCTGTCCACCACACTTCCCCTCCTGGCTGTGTCAGGGTGATGTTTAAAGCTGTGTGACGTTCGGGGGAGCGTCAGTCTAGGATGTAAAATGCCACCTTGTGTCCCACCAGGTCTCAGCGATGTCCCCAGCACACGGACGAACAGAGGAGGGCCGTCAGGGTGTTCCTCTTGGGGCCGTCCGCGTGAGTGTGCCCCATCCCCTTTTCTTACCATCCCTCCTTTCCTCCCTCCCTCCCTCACCTGCAAGTGTGCTTCACTGTATGTCATGTTTGAATGAGTGTGCGGGTGTGTGCTGATACAGTCCTTCAGGTAGGGAGTACCACAAGTAGAACAGACGATGCCACTGATCGGTGTTGTGAAGACTTCCCAGTATTTTCCCTTTTCTTCTGTCTTTTCTCTTGAGTGCACAACTTTTTATGATTGTATGGACATTAGATTTCAATTTCATGACATCAACAGATGTGCTTTTATTTCCAATTACACTCAGCATCCTGACTAGGGCTGGGTGATCAAACGATAATGATATATGGAAAATTAATTTCCCTCAATATCAATATGGAACATGGTCAGTATCCTTTTCAAAAGCTGACATTCTAGCATATTTTGGTAGACTATATGAATAGCCATAAAAAAAGGGGAGTTGCTCCAGGTCCGCCAATCATGTGCTGAAATAGAACCAAGTAGCAAACAACTGCGTAGTAGCAGACTGCAGCTACACGCAACCATAGCACTTAAACATGAGAAGCAGACAGCACTGTTGGTGGGAAAAAAAGAAAATGAGTGGTACCCATGGCAGAAATGCACATGAAGGCTCAACGGATGATGACATCGTTGACAACACTGGCACGAAAACATGTGGAGGTATTTTTTTTAGGTCGGACATGAAGCAGAGTAATGTGCAAATTATGTCGAGAACATGTTCTTACAAAGTCGGGGAATACCTCAAATCTTTTTCACCACCTGGAGCAGTGCCACGCAGCAGAGCACATGCAATGCAAAAGGTTACAATCCCTGAGTGGAGCAAGGAGCCTATGGCGCCTGTGCAACCGAAACAGCCGACCATTCAGTCCGCTTTCTCTAACGCAACGCCTTACGACAAAACGTCAAAGAGACACAAAGACCTCACAGATGCAGTAACTTATTGTATCGCAAAAGACATGCTACCAATAAGCTCTGTTAAATTTTATTTTTTATTTGTGATATATATCGACATCAACTTGTATGAAAAAAAAAAATGTGATAAACTTTTTCTCATATCGCTCAGTCCTGTCCTAACCCTGACATTTAAGTATGCAGCCACATTTCCCTCTCAGTTATTGTGTTTTTCTTTCCCATTTATCTCATCTTTATCTGTTTGTTTGATATTAGGTTTCAGGTTTGGACAGTACTCCGGTCTACTCCGGTTGTTGTAGATGTGCTTTTAAAATAAACTTGACTGGAATAGTGTCATAAATGTTCTATCAAAAGGTACTTCAGCTCTGTTGCTGTTCACAATAGCGAGTGGTTGAATTAGGTTTTTAAGTTCAGGAGCTTTAGCTGAAAACTGGCAGGTTTTGTCTGATTGTTTGTTTCATTCCTACCAGTGTGACAGAATGCACTTTGTGTCTGCACTTATGTTCCAGGCCACCGCTGCCTGACGCAGACGCTGTGGCGGAGAGCGACAGCTTCGACATTCCAGACGGACAGACCGTGATGAGCCGCCTGCAGTGGGAAGACTCCCCAGATATTTCACCGGCTGACTCTGCCTCGTCCAAAGCCAGTAAGAGAGAAACTCGGCGACACTCATAACTTCCTTTTTTTATGAAGAACTTAAGAGGAACAGACCGATCACTTTCTTTCCCTCTCACAGGCATCAACCATTCAGATCCTAGGAGGCCCAAGAAAAAGAAGAAGACGCCTCTTAGTTTGAACTCTGTCGGAGGCAGTGGAGGAGGAGGAGGAGGAGGAGGAAGTCTAACAGGAGGTATCATCAGCAGCAGCAGCAGCAGCTCCCAGAATAATATCAGTTTGTCGACCAAGAAGAAGAGGCCCAAACTCCCAGCACCTTCTATTTCCAGTATCTATGATGATTTAAACTAGTGTGAGCCCTGACTGTCAGGGAGGCTTTTATTCCAGGTGACTTCCTCCTTTCATGACCAAAACAACAGTCCTGAAGTGGATGGAGTGACACAAAGCTGGTCTTATTTATTACATTTTAATGAGGTAAGCAGGTTAAAGAACAGTCCTCTTCTGCTATTAAAGCTTTCTTCAGGAGTCTGTAAGAACTTATGGGAATCACATCCTGAAGCAGACTTCCCCCACTACTAACTCAGATACTTTGGACATTGTGTGATACTGCTGAGCTGCTGAGGTTGGGCAGTGAAGGCTGGCACACAAGTTTCTCATTCAAGGTGTTGTTGTTGGATGGGGTTGATAGGACTCTCCTGACCAATTTTCAAACACACACTTGGCACAACAGTCGGGGGGGAATGGGATTTTGATTCAATTAAAAAAAAAAAAGTCACCAAATGGGATTTGAAGAGAAGGAAACATATGCAGATGTTGGAGATAGTTTTAAATACATAAACTTGAGTTGGCCTTGAATTTGGGTTGAATTTGTTCCTGCCAAATCAAAGTTGTTTTGTCCCTGTGACGGTCAGTTTAACGTTGCACATGTGATCTTAAACTGCTCTCCAATGAAAATTCAACACACACACACACACACACACACACACACACACACACACACACACACACACACACACACACACACACACACACACACACACACACACAGTAAGTATACTCAAGTACTCGTGATTTGAGTGTTTTAGTTATTCTAGCATTGTATTGCACATTCGTGTTTGAGTGCCTCTTTATGCTGACTTAAATTTAGTGAGAACGTCACTTTTTTTGTTCTAATGTGTGTGTTTGTGTACATGTATGGATAGTGTAGGTATAAATTATTCATATATATATTTTCATAAAACTATGCATCCAAGAATGTGACTTTTTTTTGTAAAAGTAGGAGTGCCATTTTATATTTGAATACTTTTTGTTTACATCAGAAAAAAATGATATGTATATGATATGATTTCTTTGTAAAGGCAGATTTTGATATTTGATCGACCAGCAGGCTTTGGGGCACATGTACACTTCTTGTATATATGATGACTGAGGTGAAAAACTGGTCGTATATTCTGTGTAAGTTCTTTTCTTCCTCAGAACAAGCCTTGTCTTAGGTGGTGTCATGCAGTTCTGGCTGATAGATCACACTGTACATGTGATCAGCGCTGCACTTCTGTTTGTCATTTATAGTGTTGAGTGTGAATCTTTATTATGCTTTAGATGCAGTTCCACTTGTACATATGACTTCTTTGAGCATAGGCCTAAAGGAACCATTTTTATTTGTCCAAGAAAATCTACTTCAGTTTTTTTTAAGTGAGGTTGTATAAAGTTCACGTCAATACTAAGTGTTTTAAGCCAAGGGGATCCAGATCAGCTTGGCCACTTTGGTAAAAGCTGGACTGGCAACCACTGTAGACAGGGCCAGTGCTCCCATATATTTTGCTCCTCATGTTTTTCATTTGCTGCTTAAAATTGTAACAAAATTCACAAAATTTTAGTGTAGTGAACAAAGGAAAAGCTGACTCAAATCATAGACCCAACCAGCTAAACAATACGCTGGAGGACTCTGGTGTGTAACGCCCAGAAATAGTGCTGTGAAGAACCGACCTTCCATTGGTTCTCCTACTGGTTCCTCAATAAACAGGCTTGGATCAGTGAGTGATAATTACACTATTGACAAGTACTTCAGACAACCCACTTTGTTACGATATGAGCCACAACTCTAGAAGAGGAAGGAAGGCTATATTTTCAGTTCATCTGAAAGTTTGAGGGTCAGCCTCGAATCAAATATTTTTTCATTTCTTTGAAGATTTATTATTTAAATAAGAACAGGAACTCTGGGTTATTATGTTTAGTTTGCAGTTTGTCTTGCTTTGTTCCCTCCTGAATGGACAAAAGTGTGTTGCCCTCTTTTGGTTTTCCATTTTCATGTTGTTGTGCATTTTAAGAGTCGGTAAAGTCTGTTGTATTAAGTTGTATCTGTCAAATAGATGATTGAGAATGCCTAACTGAAGTTCCAGTGTGGTTCTAACAATCACACATACTAGTACCTGTGTGGAGGTCTGTTCTCTTTGTCCTTTCAGCCCTTTCCTGTGGGGTCTTGTGATGAACTGTTCCTGAAATGACACTTTGTCTTCTCTGATGAAGTAAAACAGCTGACGTTTGCTCATGGTTCCTTGTGTTATCTGTATAAATGCAGTAACACAAACTGTAGTTTTCAATCTTTTTCATGCATTTCTGTGCATGTGGGGACAACTGTTTTCTATGATCATTGTTTTCTTTTCTCTTAGCTGACTTGTACAACATTGTTTGTATACGAGTAAATAAAGTCTCCAGACTTTAAACAGACACTGAGACCAGATTCATTTGAAATGCTTTAATTTGAGACATCACTGAAGCCAGAGCAGTCCAGCATAATCAGGAGAAGGGCAATGTCCCACTCCAAATCTTTAAGTGCCAGATGCAGGTTCATCTGATTCATTCTATCATTTTTATTTACAGAAAATACACAATATATTTACATTATCTTCTCAAAAAGTCTACTTTCTTGACTAAAGATTAATTAAATTAGGCTATCTCTACATAGCAATAGCTTGTGAGAAACAAAAATATCAGATTCTTTTAGGCTAGCACTGAGGCAGCTGTACAGTCCACAGTGGCTTACATAGAGATTGATTCATTCAAAAACACAAAGTAAAGATAAAAAGAAAAACTGGCACACACAGTACAACAGAAAGTGGTTCCAAACAGGTTTTCCATCCTTGCGTCTAGCTGTTAATTTTCATGTTTTGATACAAACAGTGGGCGATAAAACCACTGAAGCACAGGAAAGCATCAGATATTTAGCAACAGTACAAGCAGACAACATGAGACAGCGTTTGAGCATGGAGTGAACGACAGAGATGTGTCTGTAGAGAGGCTAAATTATGGTTCAGCTCTAGAAGAGTTTTCCTATGTTTTACAATCATCGATTGTTATGTCTTGGTACATGCACAAACAGGCTCACATAGCCACCCATACGCACACTCACACTGCAGGGTCCAATCAGCTGTTGCATCCGCACTGAGCACCTCTTTGAATTTGTCCGTCCCTCCAGACGCCACCCACTGCTGTAGATATTTTTACATAACCTCACAACATTCAGCTGCACACGTGCACCCTGGTCTTTAGATTTTTCAGCGGCTGTGCATACCGAATATCAAAAAGCTGAAGAACACAGTGACTCCCACGAGGGAGATGGTCGCAGGGGCGGTGAAGAACTGCCTGTAGTTGATGCGGAAGTACCACACCACAGCCAGTATCACCACAAACACAGGCACCACCAGGCTGCCAGTGCTGATGGCCACTCCAGCAGCCCTGAATCCTCCTGACACTCCAGACCCGACTCCGGCCCCCGACTGAGCCCCTTCCTCTGGGACAGGCTCTTGCAAGGTCTGGGAGATGTGGCAGTGGATCACGCTGTTGTGAGTGATGTTCAGGGATAATAGAGTCCTCTTGGGGTCCTGCAGTAGCTGGCCTTGGTAGATGAGTTTAATTTGATGCTCCCGACCTGAGAAGTATTTACTGGAGACATAGAGATAGTAAGAGAGATATCAAACAGAATGAAAATATGACTCTTTGCTTCATGTATAGGTTCAGAAGAGAAAGCCTAACATCAGTCAAATCTTAATCAATACAAAGAAACTGATGGTTCATTCAAATTAGCATAAAGACAGGCTGCAAAGGTAATCTCAGTCTAAAACTTACTACATGAGTAGGCTGTTGGCTACAGTAACAAAGACACAACCAAAAATAAACACACACCACATGGATGATTTGCAAGAGGTCTATGTAAGAGAGTTTCTCTGACTTCCTAGAGTCTCTACTAGTTACCTAGCAACCTCACGGTGAGGACAGTGATTCTCATTGTTCATTGTCGCTAGGGCTGGGCGATAAAACGATAATGATATATCAGGGTTTCCCCTACATTCAATTGATCGTGGCGCACCACCACGGCTAAAAAAAATGCTGCCACACCTGAAAAAAATTAGTTTTTATCTCACATAGTTCTACCTCAGACTCATATGTATCAGCAGTGTTTCCCCTACATTCATTCAGCAGCGGTGCACCACTGAATGATTCTACACGCACTGTGTGAGCACAGCAATACACAACGTTATTTCTGACTTGTAATGAGTCATCAAGGAGCACATCCAATCCTGTAGGACCCTCTTCCATCAACGTGAGAGGTAACGTTCAAGCTCATATACGGTCTATATAGCGAGTAGCATTAATAGCATTAGAAGCATTATTATCAATGCGGCACTAATAATTTCTACTCGCGCTGTGCGAGCACAACGACACACAACGTTATTTCCGACTTGTTCTGAGTCATCAACAAGCGCATCAAATCCTGTCGGACCCTCTTCCACCAAAGTGAAGGGTAACGTTTAAGCTTATACAGGGTCTATATATTGAGTAGTGCAGGTAACGTGCCCGCGCTCCTAACCCCCTGATTTTCAGAAAGTCATTAATTAAGACATGCATGTTTGTTTACCAACCTTTTCAGTATCCCTACTGTATCCTGTGGTTCTACTACAGCAACCTCCTCTGTATCATTCAGAAACTTCAGACGGACAGAGATGCAAGTCGTGGTGGTCGGTGTGATGGTGCTTGACAACACTGGGATATGCATTAAAATCTTTTTCTCTTCCTCTTCAAGCTCATCATCATCCTCCTCTTCCTCCTCCACGTCATCCTCCTCCTCGTCTGAAGCCTGTGGTAGTCCAGCCTGTGGTTGTTTGCTCTGTATATCCAACAGCAGATCCGTCCTAACCTCATCAGCTCCTTCACTCATCCCATCGCCCTCCTCTCTCTCAGTCCCAGGTTCGCCATCATCTGGCTTGTTCTCCTGTGATGGCGAAGGAGTCTGCTGTTCTGAGGTATCAGTACTGGGGGACCCGCCGTTGTAGCTATCTGGGCCACCCAGTCCAATCAGAGAGGCGTGAGCACCCACTGTAAGGATGGTACCAAGTATGTGATCTCCCCTGTCAGCTACATGGGTGGAGAGCCAAGCTAGGACGAGGGCCAAGACCAAGAGCAACACACCCCCTGCCGCTGTCACCTCACCCTCCATACCATCCAACATGGTCAGTGCACACACTGCCATCTCTGTCCTCCACGATCTGCACACAAAAAACAACATACAAAAGACGATTCCAATCAGCAGATCAGATTATCCATTTTTGACAAAAGTGATCAATAAAGAGTGATTTAAAGGTGGGGTAGGCAGGAATCTGTTAGAGAAGCATCTTTTTTGTGGTGTAAATACAAAAAAGCTTTTAATTAAGGTCAATAGCTGTTAGTTATTGATGACATTTGGGAATATAAGGATAGGCCGCCCGCTCTTTCTGACTGTAAACAAAGCCATTCTCTGCCTCCCCCAACCTGATTGGTTGTGAGGCGGGCGCTGCTCCTTAATGCTGATGGGTTTGGGGCAGACGCTGCTCCCTCGTGCTGTGAGGCACGCTCCACGTCCTCCAATAGCATTCATGAGCCCAAACAAAGTTAGCGTGCTACAATATCGGACAGAAAAACAACAACCAGAAAGTATGAAAAACACAAGCAATAAAACAAAGTAAATACTCTGGTGGAATATCGGGCGCTTAAAATGGAGGTAGACTGGATAAGGGCTAAGAAGCTGGGTCAACATCAACATAAACGATGGGGAACGCTTCACGATCTTACGGACCCTGTAACCTTTCTGCTGGACAGGTAAACCGCTTTAACAAAATAAGCCAAGTGTCTGTAACAGAAGTGTTTCTTGTCAAAAGGGACCTGCTGCTTGTTGTAGTGCCACTAAACTGTTTAGCTCGGGTCCTGGAGTATGTCATTTTCCTGGTTGTAGAAGTCCTGCAAACATTGTGTTTGCTGGTAGTCTGTTGGCATCTGCAGTAGCACCAATGCTTTTTACTTTCACACTGACTGGGCCCCATTTGTAATCATCGGAATTAAATTGACACGACACAAGCGAGCAGGAGTGTCTGTTTGTGGATGGGGCTTGCTGGAGCAGAGATGGAGGAGCTGAGGGGAAAACTGGTCGGGAGGGGTAGTAATTACATTCAAGATTTCTCCTAAAAATTGGCACTTCCTCAGATCCTGCCTACCCCACCTTTAAAGTTTCTGTTTTTGCATTAGATGAGAAAGGAAAATCTTCTGGGTTATGTCTTTAAATTAACTGAGGGCCCCCAAAACATCAACAGGTGGTAGGTTCATCTAAAAACACCTTTACAGTTGAATTTCCACGAGTTTAACTGCAATATACCATGACTGCAACTTATCATTAACTCAATGTTATCACTCAGTAAATAACTCAAAAGAACACAGGTAATAAGATCCACAGTTCCTTGTTTTGTTCAAGCAACACACTAAATCTTAACATATGTATCAGTCCAATACAAAGATAGACATTTTTGCAAACTCTGAAGAACTTAAGAAGCCAGAACTACTCAAAACTGTGTGTTTATTCTTTAACTTAGGAATGGAATATGATTGACACTTGTTTGTTGTGCATTATTTAGGTCATATTAAAAGCATGACACACGGGACGGAACAGTGTATCTGCCCATCCCTGAATGTTGACAGAGAAAACTGAGTCCTGTTTGTTTCACGCCTCAAAGGAACTACACAACATGCAAATGTACAGAAGAACAGTGTGTTTTTAAACAGGGATCAGAGAGTTCAACGTGACAAAGGTTGTACACAGTACACAGAACTGCCTTACCCCCTTACATTCAGGTCGAAGCTACCTAACACAAGATACTGATCGGAGTTTACACAAACCATGGCTGCTTTCATTTATATAACGACACATGATAACAGTTTTCAATAACAAGCAAAAAAGACATTTGACTTGACAACCAAAATAACAGGTGGAAATAATGTTGCATTTATCACGTGGTTTAGGACCGTGGAAAAGTCCTTATAGTTCTGTGGGGTGAGCAGATATCAGGGTCGGTCAACAGCTGTTTCGTATTGCCATGAAAGTTCTTTAAACAGTCAGCTGATTAAACCGTGTCCTCGATTTTTCCTCCTGCCACGTTACAACTTATGGAAGCCTTTGACACCATAAGACAAAAAAATGCAATAATAGAACTACACTGTATGCTGTGAGCTTGTAAAGTTACTGTTTATGCTGGAGTCGCCAGTTAATGAGCTAAGTTAGCTCGCAATGCTAGCATATTTTGCTAACAGAATAACGACCTTCGGCGTTTTGCGACTTTGAATGCTCGGTTTATGTCGTCTTTCTTGGTTTTAAAACTAAAAACTAGGGTCGCGGGAAACATCTACATGTCTCTAATATGCGTAAACAAAATTAACTCACCTGCCAGCTGTAAAATCAGAGCATGTTTGGAGACGAGGATCAGTGCTTGCTAGTTAGCAGCTACTCCTTCATAACACGATAAACACGCAGACGAAGAACGTCGTGACGTAACCACGTAAGGGCTATACTCGTGGCCTGGGGCGTTTGTTTTGGGCGTTGGGCATGTTTTTATCTCCTTACACACTTTCAACTCACGGACAATAAATGTGCATGTGCTTTATTGTGTGTTGAGGAGTCGACTGATTGAAGACAAGGCAATAATGTCATGCTTGCAGTCATGTTATGAGAAGAAAATACAACAATAATATGGATTCATGTGGTATCTGAATAGTAGGGGAGAGTGGGATAAGATGAGCCGTTTTTCATATTTCTGATTACTACATCAAGGCAATCATAGTTTTGTCTCTAACGAGTGTATCTGCATATATTTCAAGATGTTGTGCATCCCTGCAAACCAACAGAATGAGTGTAAACATAACTCTTGATAATATAGCATGCCAAAAAAGGGGTCTCAACTAACCCCCTGTATGGTGTAAGTTGAGCCTTATCCCTACTACCCTCTACTCTCCACCCCCTCCTTCACCTTCTCTCTCCCTAAATAACAGTCACTTCTTCACATTCATGTGTTATTATTATTATTATTGCATATAACTGCTAAAAAGCTGTTCTATAAAAGCCATTTTAACATGAGAATGCCTTTAAGTGATTCAGAACATTCACAGCTTTACTTTAGAAAAGAAAAAGTAACACATTTCAACAATCTGAACTGAAACTCTGATCCTCTCATCAGACTTCTTTACTTTCTCTGTTAAGCCACTGGCTCGACTTACCACAGAACTACTATTATGACTTTATTAGTCCTCTAAACTAAAATGGTGGACTTTTATGTCAGGTTTTTGACCTCGTGTTGTGGCTCATAGATACCACAATAGATGTATAAAACAAATTTTAAATGATCTTTTTTGGTCTGAACGCAATTGTTATAAAACTTATGATAGACTTAATTCACTTTCAAGAGTTAGAATTTTTTTTTTTTTATAAATGTCTAACCCCTTCACCCATGTGCTTCTAACCTTCACAGACTCCATGAATTGATGCCCATCTCCTAAATATTTGGTCACATGATCGATTTCTTTCACCATTTCCAAGCGACTGGGGGTGGCTCAACTTACCCTTTGGTTCAACTTACCCCACTCTCCTTTACTCCCCCAAGTACTCAAAAAAGTTATATTGTGTAACAGACAACAATTTTATTTTGAAGGTATTGTCATCACACAGAGGTATTGTGATGTTTTTTCATGCAGTCAAATGCTGAAATGGTTAAAAGAACACCCTATACAACAGAAATAAATTAATGTCAAATAAATTATGACCAAAATTCTGTGAATGCATTTATCTTGCACACACTTTCACACAGAAACTTAATCTTAAAGGATTCAAGGCTGACACAAATGCTAGTTTAGAAAAAAATACATCAGTTAAAATGTGTTACCATAAATAGAAACTGATCAAATTTAAAGATGGATATGTAAATATGTGCGCTCACTGGAGCATCCCGTCATTACACAGCAGCAGGTAGTCCCTCACAAAGTGGGGAATGTCCAGTTTACTTATCACTGAGTGACACCCAGCACCAAGGTTCAGACGCAGAGCACACCGACAGAGATGCTGCAGTGAGCGTGGCTGACCGCTCCGCTCACGCACCAGGTCAAAGAAAGAGCGATGCTCCTGAGGCAGGGAGGAAGGACAAACCAACAGTGAAGCAGCAGGTTGTAAACAGAGAGTGAGGAGGAGGTAAATAAACACAGCAGACAGCTCACCTCATACACGTCAGGGCACAGGGACTCCATCCACTCACAAGGAGGGATGAATGTATAGGAATTCAGCATTACCTCCAAAGTGGCAGGAGAGAGAACACAGTGTTTCAACATCTAGAGAGGGGACAAAGAAAAGCCCAAATAAATAATTTGATCAGTTTTTCATCATATAATTTCTCCTTGTATTGCACCATAGGCTTTATATCTTTCTTTCTCAAATGTCACTCCTTTTGATCAAATTTCTGTCTGTATTACTATCACATTTCAGTAATGGTCAGATCTTAGGTAACATTAGATTATTTGCTTTTTGATTTAAAAGCATAACTTGATATTAGTGTAGCAAAGGACAATGTCATCCAGATTAACATATATATCATTGTGATGACAGACTTAAATTATCTTTGAATTTATGAACTATACTTATATGTTAAATAATTGTATTTTACCATACATTTATGTTGCAAAGTATTCAACTGTCTGTGATGCTTTTAAACCTAATATTAGTCACCTACCTTGTAATTTTGTCTTTGTAACTTAATTTTTAATTAATACCTCGTCAAATTATTTTTCACTTTCATATCTTTTTTCCTATGTTTATAATAAGTGTTAAATAGATAATAACTTTAGATAGATAGATAGATGGATAGATAGATAGATAGATAGATAGATAGATAGATAGATAGATAGATAGAAATACTTTATCCCAAACTGGGAAATTCACACGTTACAGCAGCAAATAAATACAAGATAAATTTTAATGTAAGAAGAAGTACAATACAGACTAAAAATACTAAAAATACTAAGTATATACAATAAATACAGACTAAATATACTAAAACATCCTAAGAGAAAAAAGTGATATGATGTTACTATTTATTTCGCTAAGGTAGCACCTTTAAAACAGATGTTTACACAGTGTTTTATAAATAATAGATAGCAACAGTGCCCACAGTGGTTTGGCAGTATTTTGATAAAGGAGATAAAGTCATGTGTAGGCTGTGTTCCAGATCAGTCTCAGCAGATAACTGTCTAATATGAGTCTGGTTCCGCTCGAGGTTTCTGCCCGTTAATTTTTTTGTTTGTATTTGTTTATTTAGCACAGATTAAAAACAGTGCAAGGAGGGAACGAAGCCGATTGGCTTATACAAAGGAAGTTCTTCCTCTCTACTCTAACTTGATAAATGCTGTTAAGTGCTTCACTCATGAGATTGAAGATAGGATGGGAGTAGGTCTCATCTTACAGGATGGGGCTCAGTTTGATCCCATCTTCACATTGGCTCTTTGTAAATTGAGTATAGTCTGAACCAGATTTTTTGTTTAGTGTATTAAGATAACACTTGTTGTGATTTTGTGCTACATAAATTAAGATTAATTAATTGACTGACTGACTGATTGATTGATTGATTGATTGATTGATTGATTGATTGATTAACTTGAGCAATGTGTACCCAGCATAGATATTAGGTCTTTGCTTGCATTGAGGACTAAAGACTGATGGTGCTAGCTCTGCAACATTATTCACCCACAAATTCTGTAGTCAGGCATTGAGCTGTTTTAAATAAGTTTCTCAGTTTTGACTTTTTTTCTTTGTGTTTTTTTTTTCTCCCTTGTGACATGTCAAAATTCAGTTGAAATGACAAGAACATTAGTTGCTTCAGAGCACTGGAATTTAAATAGGCTCCTGTTTTGGTTGGTTGATGTAGCATGGAGCTTGTGTAACGACATTCTTACAGTACATAATATTTTGAATTTACAATCAAACAAATTTTTCTTGCAAACTCAGTGCTGACTACTTGCAATGTTTCATTTTAGGGGGCATAGATGGCGTTTGAAAACACTTTTCAGTATGTCATCATACCTTGGGTGGAACTGGCTTTGCTCCATAGTTAAGAAGTGACTGTGCTACTGCCTCTGGTCTCTGGTCCGGGTAATCTTCAACCACCTAAAATAGGAAAGGTGAGGTTTTTATTCAACTGCCTAAGATATGGGGGCAATCACTTTCCCTTGATTCTAAATTTTGCAGATTAAGACAAATTTAAAAAATCCTAATCCACCCAGCCCTCATGAGCTACCTGTAACAGACAGTCCATTGGTGTGTATCCTGCACAGTTGGCTACATCTGCCTTTGCTCCATGCTGTAAAAGGATCTCCACAATCCGTGGGCAGCAGTTTGAACAGGCATTGTGAAGGGGGGTGTGCTGCTTCCTGCCTGCAGTTCTGGGGTCAGCTCCTGCTCCCAGCAGATTTTGAATCACACGTAAATACCGACCTGCCTCAGAGGGCCTCTCGGCACCAGAGCAGGCAGCATTCAGCGGGGTCTCTCCCTCCTGATTTGTGGCTAACACATCTGCTCCGTGGCTGAGGAAGAGTTCAACATGCTCCTCTAGGCCTCGTCGTGCAGCCAGGTGCAGAGGTGTTAATCTCAACTCCCTCATCCTCACACTGACCTCTGCACCCGCATTTAAGAGCAACTCGGCACACCTGAACAGAAGACATATTCTGTAAACGCAGCGGATTAGCATCGGTATCAATAAAAATTTAATTTAGGTCTACCTGTTAAGTCTGTCATCAATGTGGTAAAATGCAATTTGAGTTTAAGCTGGTGACAACCTATTATGTAATTCTGTATCCCAGGACAATTTCAACTCTTAATTATAGTTCAGTGCAGTGTTTGCATGATAAAAAATATTTGTATATCATGTTATTTCCAACAGCTGAAACAATCAAAGATACAGACCTAAATATTTTGGACAAAATTCCAGTGAAAGAAACCGTCAGCATGCAGTCAAACTTTTGTCCTTTACACCTAAAGGGGGACTCTGACTCAAGCTCTAAAGCACATATATCAACGACAATTCACTTTTTATCCTAGAAACATAGCTAAGAGCAAGAGTAGAGAGACATCTCTCTCTTAGGCGGACCCAGAAAACCTGAATGTATTCTTTTGAGGCCTCAGGTCTTGAACAATTCCAGTAATCTTGTTCAGTCTGCCTAAAAAAGCCGCTCAGCTTGTTTCAGCAGGAAGCTGGTGCACGTATCAGGACTGAACAAAATGTGCACTTCACATCCAATTTGTGGCAGCAATTTACATGAATTTGTGCAAGTTTTTCAAACACACAGAAGCAGATAGAAAATGGGCGCTTAAGGCACCTTGCCTTTCTTTGCTTCAGTCTTTAGTCCGAATAGTTGATTTTCACACTGTAATTTTATCCCTGTCTTTAATTCTTTGTTTTTACTTTTTATCAAATAAGTTTTTATCATGATTTCTCTCCTTGAAAAATCCTATTTTTGTTTTATTTTTCTGTTTTCAGTATGAGCTGTTTTAATCTTGTTCTGTAAATTGCTAAGGGCTACCTTTTTACGGAGGGGGTTGAATAAAGAAGTGCCTTCGAAATCAAACAGACAGATCTAGTTTCAAGTGAGTCTTTACTGAGAATTGAAGTGTTACTCTCTTGGATTTTTACCAGCCATTTGTCTTTTTGTTAAAAGCTCCCCAATGAGCCAAATGGGAAGAGTTGTCCTCAAAAGATGGAACATTTTTCACTGATGTCAATCCAAGTAGTCAAAATATCTGTAAGACTCACTGGAATGACTGAGCGGAGGTGCAGAGGTGTAGAGGAGCGCTGCCGTCTGCAGACAGGACTTCAGGGTCTGCTCCATGTGAAAGCAGAAGCTGGACACAGGCAGAGTGGCCGCCTACACAGGCATCATGGAGGGCCGTGCTCCCTCCAGGGTCTGCATTCACCTCGGCACCCCTGAATAGCAGCTCCTCCACACATCCTGTGTGTCCTCTACCAGCAGCCAGACGCAGCGCTGAAGTTTGCTTGACCTTGGAGCTCAGAGTCCACATGCCTATCTCAAAACAGAGAAGCCATAAGTGTTAAATTCATGCAAGATAACAAGAGAGGTTTTTCTGGATTCATACCCATCTCTGGAGCCCACACCATCTCCTCGTGCACAGTCTCCATCAGAGCATTAACCATTCCAGGGTCCTTTAGCACTGCATACACTCCCTTCATGTCCCCACACATGAAGGTGTTGTGGATAGTTGTGTCTCTGCACCGAACCTGAGGTGGAGGGGCCCGTACCTCCTGAAGACGCCGCCCCTGCAGTCTTGGAGGAGGCCTGGGAGCCCGGGACACAGGGGCCCTGGTCATGGCTCTCCTATGAGCCAATGCTTGACGAGCAGACTCCCACTCCTGAAACTCCTGCTCCAGTCTCAGGGAGCGCAGTGAGGTAGACGAGAATGGAAATGTGTTCTTTGACATGGTACCTTGAGTCTGACAGGCCTACAAAAAAGTCATAATAAGAGCATTTAAAAAAAATATATATATATGCATGTTTAGTCTAGCTGAAAATTCATGTAATAATTTTCCTGAAGCACTGAGCTGCTCTGTTTAAAAGGTCAGATCTTAGTGTCTACTCACCTTTTAGTGGAGTCACAGGGATCCAAACAGTGTTCAAGTAAAAACACTCATAGTTTAAATCAGCCTTACTGTAATTTTAGGTCGAATATCTGATGCAGAAAGCCAAACTGAATGTCATTCGTGTGTGGTCACAGTCACAAGAGTGTAGCTCGAACACAACTTTAGCACTACATGAGGTAAAAATAGAACAGAAAGCAAGCTGATACTTGTAATACTCCAAATAACCACTACATGGCAGTATTGATCTAGTATTCACGCTAAAAGAAATGGTCTCCCAACACAAAGAACATATATATAGGTCAAGAGGGACGGCGTCTTAAACCAGTTCAAAGAAGGCCCGGTAAATAAGGACTTTTGGAAATGTGTAAAACTACATCCTGTGATTTCCAATTGCCTTAGTTTGACTGCATGTCAACATTTTAATTTCACTTTGTGTTTCTTGTTTCGCATCCCTGTGTGTCATTATCTGACTTGTACAGTCCTGTTTCTTTTTGCTGAGTATTTTACCCGTGTGTTTGTGATATTGCAAGAGTAATTTCTGTCTAACAGTGTATGTTGGCCTTTCCAGCCATAACAAATCGTCTGCCTCCTCCATTTCACCGTAATTTTAAAGTTTCATGCACACAACCAACACGGTATTTTTCAGTTGGAGGGAACACTCTCGCTTTGGTTCGATCTTCTTCTTTTTTTTTTTTTTTTACAAACACAACTACGTCATTACGTAGAGTTTGAACGTGGCGGCGCGCTACCAAGCAGCAATCCCTTGGTAGACCTGAAGTTTGCATATAGCTTGCTGGTTAGCGTGAGCGTGTTGAAGAATCGTGGAGTTAAAAATAATGTTTAAATTCTGTTATTTAATGGCATTTGAAGTATTATGAAGTGCGGTGTACCAGAACGAACCGATCAAATTCGGCTGCCATAGCGATATCTCTCTACTGTGATGGTGAGTGAGCCATAACAATCTGAGCTAACGAAGCTAACGCAGACTAACAACACTTCTCTCCATATGAGGCACGTTTTCAGAGTTAATACGCCTTTATGTATGTTATCTGGTAACTGATTGTCAGTATTCATGCTTTACTTTCTGTTGCAGACCTGCAAACTAGGTGGCCTGTTCAGCATTGGCGAGGACTTTGATGATGAGGTGACTCTCAGCACCGAACACACCTGAGTTCAATTCTTCATTATCTGTCCGGTTTCTTAGGGTTGCAAAGGGGTGCAAAATTTCCAGAAACTTTCCATGGGAAGTTAAGCTGGGGAATTTTGGAAATATTCAAAATTAGAAACTTTCCATGGGAATTATCTAGAATTTATGGGAATTAACTGGAAATGATGGGTAATTTAAACAAACTGTATCATATCCAAACATGAATGTAAATATCTTTCCTTCAACATTAGCTTGTGTGAATGCTTCCACACATCAGATGGTGAACGTGGCATTTTTCTGTAAAATAAAGTAACAAAAAAGCTTGTAAAAACACTAATGCAATGGCATGAACAGAAATGGAGTTGGCTTAACAACTGCAATGGTTTTCAAAATAATTTATTGTATGATTTCAGAAAACCGTCTTGCAGGAGTCAGCAGAAACATTATCACATTTGAGGTAGCTACCACCACCATAATAAGCCAGCCCCTTAGGTGGTCAATGAAATGAAAAATAGCTTACATTTAACACCTATTTTTATTTACATTTTTGCAAGTTAAATATTGATACTATTAAAGATTTAAATATATTTACCCCATAATGTTATCAAAACCTGACTTTATATAGTCCGTGGGCTCAAATGTCTTGTGCTCTGGGCTCAAAAGTGTGGCCTCCAGGGTTGAAGAAATCATCTGTGCGTGTGATGGAGGATTGCACAGTGCATGTAGGGGGTGTGGCCTCAATAGCCCTGCAGTAAGCAGTGTGCTTTGTGCATGTGATTGAGGAGTGTACTTGCATTAAATCTGGTTGTTTTAGCCAAGATTATGCTACAGTATGTTTTCCCCAACTACATTTAGGTTCCCCGTTGAATGCCAACCTTCAATTTTGTGAATTTCAGATTTATTCTTGTTAATTCCCGTGGAAAGTTTCCAACTTTGAAGATTCACAGAATTTTGCAACCCTAGCCCGGCTGCTAATGTATCATAACATTATGATCCTCTTTCTGTTCCTCTGATCTTAACCTGTTAATGTGCTGATATATGCATCTGTGTGTGTGTGTGTATGTGTCTCAGGATCTGCTTGGGGCAGACTGGGCTGTGCCTCCAGTGTCTGGACCAGCCAATGTGGCAGCTGCTGTCTCATCCTGCGCTCTGCGGGCCACCTCTGTTCCTCACAGAGGGCTGGAGAAAGATGGCTGTCAGCAGACTGGAGAGAGATCAGCTGCTTCGTGTGACAGCTCAGCCTCCAAAAGCAGCATGTGCACTTCTGCTGGACTAACGGTTTCCACAGGTTTGAGACAGCTCTCCTCCCTGTCTCCCTCTGTGCAGGCCCAATCACTCCCTCCTCCCCTGCCTCCACTGATCAATAACTCTACGCCCAGTTTGAACACACAACACAGTCATGGCAATATTGAGTTGGTGCTGAAGCCCAGCGTGGGTCAGGATGACTTTGATGACTGGGATGTCGACCTGGCAGACCTGGAGGAGTTTGACAGCCAACAGGGGCCGCCACCTCAACCTCCTGCTCCAGCGAAGCATGCCCCAGCAGTTGATTCTTTGTCTTCTGCCAAAACCCTGAGACCCCCAGCTTGTGTGGGGATTCAAACACCACCAAATGTGAGCTTGAGAGCACTCAGCACTGCACATCAGACCACTTCTTCATTCAAGCCTCCTCTACTAGCACAACCCCAAAATCCACATTTGCGCCCTTCTTTTATGTCAGCCCCTCCATGGACTCCTGGTGCTTCCCCTGGCTTTAATGCAAATTTTCCAGTCCCCAGCCCCATTTCCAGGACACTTATCAGGCCCCAGCAGCCACAGAGACAATGGTCAACTCCAGGACCCTCCCCTCAGGCACGTGGCCTATTTGAAACTGTTACCCCAGCTCCCTCTGCGTCTCCCTCCTCTACTTTGCACCCTCTTCCCCTCCACACACCGGTCCTCACTAACCGCCTGGTCCAACTCGTATCAGCGTCCAATAAGCTTCCAAAGAAGAGGCCTCGCTCTGAACCTCATAGACCCAGGACCAGACGCTTCCCTGGACCCGCTGGACTCCTGCCTCAGCAAGTCAGTCTCATCCCGAATACTCTTTTCAGCTGTCTGGTTGCAGTTTGTTCATCTTTTTGTGTAATATCTCCCTTGTGTCATAGCGCTGTTGCTGCAGCTCCTCTGGGGTTTAGTCACCAAAACGAATGAAATGACTGTCACAGGAATCTATCAGTTATGAGCTTGTTTTTCTACCATGGTACAGTGTAATAATTTAATTCTCCTCTTCCAGCCGCAGGGCCCAAGCTTGGATGAAATAGTGGTCTCTGTCCCTGTGGCTCCTGCTCACAGTGCTGCCGCCCGCTTACCAAGCCAGGTAATGAAATCATAGAGACAGAGAGCTGCACAAAACACATAAAAGTATGCTTCATCATTTTCTATAAAGAAGATAAACTGACACAATGATGTCATCTAAAGGAGATTGGATTTATATAAGCAGTATTTTTATGATTGATGCACTTGATGGATAGTGCACTAAATTTATGGTAGTAAATAGATTTAAGAAAAAGGTGTTTCATTATGATTTTTCGGCTCAAGAGTCCAAAAAGAAAAAGTTCAAGACTGACTTGTATTTGTCCTCTCTGCGCCTTTGAACTCTAAATGACTTCAACCAGGGATCAATGAGAAAAATAGACGATTTTTCTCTTATTTTACCGTTCAGTACATTGACTTATCCTGTTTCATTCCTGACAAATGCAGCGAGTGGGAAAAAATCTCCTGCTAAAAGCTGCTGCTGTCAGCTCCTCACCAAACACTCAATATTGCTCTCAGTCCCTCCCGTGCCACTCGTCCCTTCAGGTTTCTAAGAATCTTTTCCTCTAAAACAAGAGAAACATTTATTATCAATGTGAACAAGTTCCCACAAAGAACAGAGGAGTGATGGCAGCATGACCTCATCCTCTGCCTCTCACCCAGTGCAGGCTGGGAACCGCTTTCTGCACGCAGAATAGGATAAAGGAGCGGAGAAGCTGGATCGATGTTTGTTCACTGAATGGATGTTTTTCTCCACTTACTATGACAAGAGAATCAATAAATGACCAAACATACGGAACAGGCGCATTTCCTACGTGAAACAGTGGAGGAATAACTCATCATCTTCTCGTCTGCAGCTGACAGGACTTTTGTTTAGTTTTGCCAGCAGTGGCCATTTAGTATTTCCAACATGTTAAATAGCTGTCTGATTGTGTAACCTTATAAAAGGAGTCACGGAAGTGATCCAGGCTGCATATGTGGAATAAATGCTCAGAGTAACAAGTTCAACCAAGGAATGAATGAAACAGCTGCGTGCTGAAAGGAAGAAAATAGGAAGAAAAACAGCTTGCATTTTAAAATCAAGTGTGAAGTCGTTGGATGTCAAATTACTGTATTGAAATACACTCCCCCAAAATTCATTTATCTAACTGTGTTCAGCACAAAGTTATTTATGCGCCGAATTTTAACATTTCTTCATTTTTTTCAGTTAAACAAACTGGTATAAAACATATCCATTGATAGACATTACCTCATCTGTAAGCAAGATTCCTGTCTGTGTAACCTCAGTTGAATTTTTCAACAGCAAAGACAACATTACCCGTGATCCCATGCTAGTCTTAGGTCGCTTTCAGTCTTGCCTTGTTTGGTCTGGACTTTCTGACTTTTCAGTTTGATCCAAACCAAAATTTCATGTCTGAACGCTCCCCCGGACCACGGTCCAGACTTTTGTCGGACCAAACAAGTGGACCATGATCCCTCAAATAAGTCTGGACTTGGTCTGGTTCAAAGTGAACCATGGTCTGATTCGCTTCAGGTGAGAACGTAACCAGACTTTTAATAAGACCAAATACAGGACGCAAACCAAAACAGCAGTGCATCATGGGTTGAAGACAGATTTGTGCTACCAGCTAAGAGAAGCTACCAGCTACATCAGACATCATTACTACAGTTGTTAATGATTCTCATCCCATCCCTAGGTCTACTGGCTAGAATTCACGCTATGTTCAAAACATACCTCACTTGTCTTCTGTGTAATACATACACCGAAAACATATCATAGGCACCCATAAGGGCCCGCCTTCTCCTTCAGGAACGTGTCCTCAGAATTATGTCATTCAGTCTATGATCATGGCTCACACGTCTCCATCTGTCCTGGTTGCAGCACCGTATCAATATAATAGCTGTCAAAGCCAAAGCTACACGCTGCTGCTGCTCCATTGTTGACAGAAAAAAAAAAATGACAGAAGGTGATTTTCCCTCGCAAATTTTCTGACCAATCGCTGAACAACATGTAGACCGCATGATTTACTAACAAAAAAGGTACGTTTTGACAAATGATGGTGTGAACTAGGACCGGACCAAAACTTAATAGCAACAGTGTATCATTTCTTTCCTCTGCTCTGGACCGTGGTCTGGACTGTCAGGTGTGAAAGTGACCCAATCCACTGTAAAACTCTATCTTGGTTGAGAGGAATGACATGCTGATCATTGACAGCACAGTTAACACATGTTTCTGTCGGTGTCTGAGTGGTTTGGTTTTCATCTGTAGGGCTCCAGCTCGCAGACCGAAGAGGACGACTTCAGCGGCGGGGCCTGGGCTGCCATGAAAGCTGAGATGGGACTGGATGAGAGGAACCCTTCCTGCTTCCTGCACTCATACAGTGTTGTCATGGTGCTCCGAAAGGTTCTTACCAACACACACTTTAAAGCTTTTGATCCAAACTGTAAACTAAAGAGAAGCAGTCTCCTCAGTGAAACTGTAGCAGTCTTTTCTTAGGTGGAGCTTTTCAGCTTATTATTTCTCCTCCATCATAACAGACTTTGTGTCACTGCAGGAGGTCTATTGATGTAATCAGGACAAATGGTGGAGCTGTACCAGAGGTGTTTTGTAATTATAAACAGTATGATCACTCATCAATCACTCTAATGGAGACTGTGCTGTTGTTCTGCTCTCCATGTGCCTCAACCTCTGTGGGGTATATTGTTGTGGATGTTCTATCCCATAGCTGTCCATGAAGCAGACTTCCTTTTTAAGATTCAGAGTCACTGGGGGGAAGCTGGTGAAGCTCATTCAGGTTCTGCCTCCCCAAACTCCCTGCTGTACGACAAACAAATGAACACGAATCCAGATCTGCTGACTGGTTGGAAAACACGTTACACCCCAGGTAGCAGAGGGAGGATGATCGAAACGGGTAATACCACATCAAACCTGGGGTGTGATTAAAAAAAGAGGTCAGGCACACAGGTTCAAAACAATCCTGACCACAAAAACAGCTCTCTCGTTTTTAACCCTGAACCAGAGTCCTGAGAAAAATGCAAACTTGATAGAACTGTCTGAAGAAGACTGAGGAGATTTCATGATTGACATATTACCCAGAAAGCAACCTGTCACTCAGTGGCAGAAACACCCTAAAGCATGTTCTTCCTACTTGAAATAGTTTCATAATTCTACTCAGAAACATTGTGCTCTGTTGACGAGACTTGAAACTTGCTTCTGAGACCAGAGGAAGATTTCAAATCAGCCATAGAGTCCAGGTTTAGAGAATCTTTAATTTCAGACAAGGATGTTGAGTTCACTTCTTTTATCAAATGTTGAAACAGTTTAAAAAGATTTGTGGGACTTAAATCAGTTCCTCTTAGTTATGAGAAATAGATTTTCTCCCTTATAATTTAATTAAAAAAGTGAAACTTTCCAACATTTTAGATTCATCTCACACAGTATGAAATATTTGGAGACTTTCTGTTTGAATCTCAATGATTGCTGCTCACAGAAATCTTCTCCCTCAAACATGAGGTGTTTGAGGGCTTACAGGTGTCGTTTTCCTGCTGTCAGAACACCCCTGAACCAGAGACCACATCATAAGCATCTCACCTGTTCTAAGAAGAAAAGAACTATTGCTCAGGGGTCCAAAGTCCTGGTTTCAGATGAACTTCAATATGGCATCTCATTTTAAAATTGAGGTCCCAGAGTCTAGAAGAAGATCAGAGAGGCACAGAGTCTAAGGTTCTTGAAGTCCAGCGTAAAGCCTCCACAGTCTGTGATGATTTGGAGTGCCATCTTATCTGCTGGTGTTGGACTGCTGAGTTTGATCAAGTCCAGGGTCAGCACAGCCTTAAGTCTACCAGGAGATTTTTAGAGACCTTCATGCTTTATCTGCTGAGAAGCTTTATGGAGATACAGGTTTCCTGCACCAGCAGGACCTGCACCGCCCCACAGTGCTAAAACTACCAGAGACTGTTTTGGTGACTGTGGTATTACTGGGTCAGGTAACTCGTCTGACCTGGACCCCCATAGAGGATCTCTAGAGTATAATCAAGAGAAAGATGAGAGACATGAGATTAACAATTCAGACAAGCTGAAGGAGCTCTCATAGAGACAGGTGCTGCGTCCGAACTGCCCGCTCGGATACTACATGCTACTGCTACGTGCTACTGCTAGATCCTACTCCTACATACTAAACACGTTTGCCCAATTCGGACACACTAGACGAGCGGTGGGGAAAGACGACCCCCGCAGGCAGAGAGTAGGTACTGCGCCCGTGCAGACAGTGGTAACTGAAGCCCCTCATCTGCGGGCCTGGCTGTAGTACTGCAGCTGTGCAGTTTAATGATGGAATAAGTGAGCTTTACCTCCATGATGTCGCCACATATTTGCTCATAAAATGATTACTTGGGCAAATATGACACCATGACATGACAAAGAGATACAACCGCACATTTTTTAGGACAGTGTGTGAAGTTACATGAAACTTACATCTGTACTGCTGCGGTCCCGCGACATGGTGCGCGCTGTTGTGGCCAGCCGGCGTTCGCGACACATTTAATTAGGCAGAGCAGCTGGTGGCGCTAGCATCACATGCGCTTCTACAACTTTTAAGAGGACGAAGAAGAAGCCCGCGGTGCATTTTGGGTCAGTAGCATGCCCGTAGGATGCACCGAGACCAACCTACAATGTGGGCGTGTCTAGCATCTGAAGTAGTATCTGAAGTAGCATGCTACTCGCTCCGGTGGCCAATTCGGACATGCTAGATACTACTTCGACTACTACTTCGACTACTACTTGGCAATTCGGACGCAGCTCTGGACTTCATAACAGCCCAGCAGAGACACAGACTGACTGACTCCCCGCCATGTCGCAGTGATGCAGTAATTCATGCATGAGGAGTCTTGACCAAGTACTGAGAGCATAGATCCTAATTCTCCAGAGGATTCACATGTCTGTGTTATGAATCTTCTTTTTTGAGCTGTAAGCCGTAATCATCAAGATTCAAACATCCCAAGTCTGCAGATGTTTGACTTTGGATGTTAAATCTGGAATATTTGGAAGTTTCACTTTTTTGAATTCAACTCTTAGAAAACATGAACCTTTTGGGACATTGTAATTTATTGAGCTGCACTCGTACAGCTCTTATTATTATTATTATTATTATTATTAATCAGACACTATCTTGATTGAGTGAAATTTTTGAGACTCTAAATGATGATTTTATTTTCTTAAAATGTTGAATGAATGAGAGCTGTGATTCACACAGATTTAAAAACTAATGAGGGTGAACTGGGCTGGTCTCTAGGGAGTAATATCTCTGTAACTGATAATTGTTTTAGTTTGTTTCTGTTTGAAAATTTTTTTCAGTACAGCTAAATAATAAACACTGTGTAAGAGTATTAAGTCTGTGTGTATTCAGGCTCTTTCCCTTGTTCTGTTCTTGTGTCTGCCCTTGTGCTGCTGCAGCGGCTGAATATCCCCTCTGGAGATCAATAACAGCTGACTTTATCTGCCCTGGAGATTAATTGATTATTAGAATGGTGTTCGGTTAATTTTCTCACAATCAGTCTCAAGATTTAGTCTCTTTTTGCAGCTCTAAAAATTGAAGTTAGCGCAGTATGAGTGGAGATTCTCCTGGAGGAGAATTATTAATATGTAATGTTTGTTTTTTTCCCTCACTCTCTCAGGCTGTGCTGAAACAGCTGGCGAGAAACAAAGTGCCCAACATGGCCGTGATCCTGAAGAGCATCGTCCACACACACGCTGATGCCAAGGCTGTGTTTAAAGACCCAACAGGTGGCACACACAGACACACAAACACAACTGCACACTCTATATGAAGCTGATGCTCCAGGAAACTGTACTCTGGTGGAAGAAGAGAAAGAAAGAGAGAGAGATAAAGACGTGGTGAAGAGCGCTTTAAGCTGTTTGCTTCACATTTGACATTTGCTCAGTGAGAATTCCCCGTATCAAGCTCTGTGCGGTACAAGAGCAGAGTTCATCTGCCGTAACATGCTTGATTACACCCACAATAACACACACACATAGACAGTACATACTCCTCTGCAATTGATCTCCCCTACAGCCTCTTTCATTCCCTCCCTCACCCTCTCCAGACCTCAAGTCTGTTTTTACCTCTGATCCACCACTGAGCTGAGCTGGTTGCCATGGCCCCCAGAGAGCCGCCACACGAGGTCTGCTGATTATTAACACTTAGGAGTGGATGTCGTACTCAACACCAGACTTAAGTGCTTATTAGTGATTCAATTGCAGTAGATTGGCATCAGCAGTGGGTGGGTATTAAGTGCTTCTGACTCCACAAGGGAGCTTTCTGTCAGTAATGTGCCTCCCACCTGCAGGAGGGCTCACAGCTTTTCCTTCTGAAGAGTCAGCAGGCCTCGGCGTCCACGTATACACTCGGTCTGATTATTACCAAATTCAGCTTGAGTCATTCATCAACAAAAACAAGAAATGTTTTCTGCTCCATGCTTCTTACAAGTAACAATGCAGTATTGCAGTTTTTAAAGTTTTGAGGGGTAGATGGGCTGAAAAATTCAAATTAAAGATGTTGCCTTTGGTATCAGGAAAGTTGGTGATGCTTTTACAAACTTGTGGTTCTGCTGCATTGATTTTAATCTAATATTAAAACAGCATTTGCCCTGCAACTCTATGCTGCACTTTTTCTGCAAGAGAAGTCTGACAAGATCTTAATCTAAGTGTCTTACACAGAGCATTTCAATTATAAAGTTTTACAAATGTGCACCTCCATACTGTACTGCTGTTATATTAAATTATGATAGTTGCACAGAAGGTTGTGCTCAGTTTTTGCTAGGGCTGTAATCAACAAAAGAAAATCTTAGTCAACTAAAACCCTGAAAGGGGGGGTGCTCTGAAAACACCCCCATTAGCACTTGGTACGTTCCTCCTGATGCAAGTAACCATAGACTGTAAATTGACACGGAAAAAAATCGAGTCGACCAATCAGAATTACAGTCGACTCAGCACGTATCGACCAATAAGTTGACCAGTCAACTAGGACTCTACAGCCCTAGTTTTTGCTCATTTGTATCAGCTGCTTTTCTTGGTCTTTTTTGACAGGACATTGGGAGTCTTTGGGGTTTAGATTTTTGGTTCAACAAAGGAAACTTATTTTCAAGAGATATTAGTTTGGGAGGTTGTGATAAGCATGACTTATTTCATTTATTTTTCTAAAGTAAAAAGTGAAAATGATCCAAACATTAGTCCAGAATAAAATAACACTTTGGGGCTGGATCATTGGGGAAGATTCTAAATTAGATAAACATCCTCACTCTACATTAATCACCTTCACTTCCCGGCTACAGGCTGATGTAAAATATTTGAATTGTAATCATTAGTTTCTACAGTTTTAGAGATATTCCCTCTTATTCTCTGGTTGCTCATGCTTTCATAGCTACAGAGTCTCACCAACCTCCTTGGGGGACGAATAAACATTCAGTGGAACGTTTCAGTCACAGTCAAGTTAAAACGGCAGTCTTATTTGTTATAATTGACATCAAAATAAGGATGTCTGGGGAATTTTACATGAAAGAAAGTGAACAGGACTTCTGCACGAGTGTTTCTTATTTAGCTTTTTTTCTTCTTTGACACCTTAAAACAGAACTGAGATAAAGGCCACAACTTTCAACATTGTTTTTTGCTCTCACCACTTTATGAATAAAGTCACTCAGTAGCTCTCAACAACTGAGAGAAGAACTCACCAGCTCTGCTTCTGTGGCCTGGATTTCAGGACAGGATCCTGCTCCACTTTTTCCCATTAGAGAAAGTTGTAGCCCAGTAGCTCCTCAGGCTGCTCTCACATCTGCGCCTGATAACCACCATTATCTCTTGAGATGGAAAATATTTTCCTGACATGAATACCTGACACTGTTTGCCTCCTTGCTTGTTGAAGCCACCGCGAGAACAGCACCCTCTGGTGACGGGCTGCAGTATAGGTCATAAATCCCTCCTCCTCCGGCAATCCTTATGGAGCTGTGGACAAACTTCAAAAATGTATTACACAGAATATAATTTTTTCTATGACTGACACTTGATACAGCCTATGGGTGTGCGAAGATTGCTATTGTTAGAGAATTTCAACCAATCAAAATCAAGTGTTGATCGTGACGGGTGATGATTGCTTTTAAATAACTGGGAATCACTCATTGTCCTCATGATAATAATTTTGGTTGAAGGGGAGATTCAGGGAACGGTTCATCGGCGCCTCCTCGAGGACCGAGTGGAGGATCTGAAGGTGGGAGCGGTGCTGCTACTTAAACAAGTAGGTCTCCTGTTGAAAATAGTCACTCTTGAATATATTTTTGAGTTCAGATTGGTTTCAGATTCTTTAAAAGTGTGTGCTTTGTGTCTCTGTGGACAGGTGGGTGTGTTTTCCCCCTCCCATCGTAACCACTACCTGAACGTGACACCTAACAACCTGCTGAGGATCTACGCTCCTGATGGAGTCAGTCTGTCCTCCTCTCAGCTCCCCCCAGTGTCCCTGGTGAGAACTACATCTGTGGACAGGGAACAAGAATAAAAGAGAGAGAATTCAAAAACAGGTTAAATCTCTTCGGCTGTCCCTTCAGAGTGTTGCTGATTTTCTGTTTCCTTCAAGGAGCCCATGTTGCTGTCACCTGCTCGCTCCCGCAGCATCAGCCGGGAGCCTGTGTCGCGGATGCACCTGATGTTCGATGAGGAAGACGATGAGGGACAGGAGGGAGGCAAAGACTTTGGACCCCCAGCAGACACAGGTGCTGGCTCCAGCAAAGGCCCCCAAGAGGCTGCTGGAGCAGCAGAGGACTCAGGCTGGGATGCAGGTGGGGCCCTTCAAATGGAAAAAACACTCTTGATTCAAGAAAGAAGAATTTTTGTTGCTCACTTCTAAAGAAATTCACACTTTTTGACATTTTTAACTAAAACAGCATCTTGAATTCAAGTCCCTTACTCTGATAAGCAGCTAACTAACAATTTGTCATCTCCTCTTGTGCTTTGAAACCATTTCAGTCCTCTCTGCCACAGCAGTGAACTTATTCCAGAGAAGCAACAGAAATTTAGGCTCTTTTCGTGATCCAGATCCTTTGGCTCAGCTAGAACCAGCTCTCCCCACTCCCAAAGGGCTCTATATGGCATCATCGTTTAAGAGCTGGCTTTTCAGTCCGAGGCATTTGTGACTGTCACATCACTGTTTCAGAGGTCCTAATATCCCTCCATTAGTCTATCAGTTAAAAATGTCCTCCACCATTTAAACACCGACATTTAACACCTCCAAGGCAGGAATGATTTTATGGCTTTGACATTTTACTGCCTCATCTGCAGATCACAAATCTCCCTCAGACGTCTTAGAAAAAATAAGACAAGACTTTCTCTTCACTGAAGCTCCATTTTTTGGATAAGATTTGCACAAATCCAGAAAGAGTTCCAGGTAAAGGTACATGTGTACTAACATGGCAGGGTGAGCAAACATGTGGAAGCCTGGTGAAATCAGAGTTCAGCTTCTGTTCATATAAAGAGCTGTGGGGCAGGAGGGCGGGTGGCTTGTCCACTGATCATGAGTGGCCTCTTTGGTCCCCAGCTCCTACTGTGAGCCTAGATAAGACTCTGAAACCCATTCTGTGTGCCTAGGATTACTGTGATGTAAATGCAGCTGATTAACTGTAAGAAACTTTCACCACAGGAACTTTTACAACCACGCTTTCTGACAGATTGGTTGAAGAATCTTTCACACCTGCACTGAGATTTTTTCCTTTCACCGATAGCTTATACAGTTGAGGTTCAAGCCAGCAAACTAAAGACACTCTGGTTTTCTGTCAGTTCTGTAGAGTCTCCTCTTTTCCCGGGGGTCTGTTGTCCAGTAACAACAAAGATGAACAAAAAATAAACACAACTTCTCTTCTGTATGTTTCTTTTTTAGAGAACAGTTTACTTTCATGTGTTGCATTGAAAAAATAGATGAATTTAAAAAAAAAACTGCCCAAACATGAAAGTGGCAAAATAAGAATAACTCTACAATGACACAGGTAGCACAATAAAGAACGGCATGGCTATGAAAACTAAAAAGGCAGACCTGGCTTGATTTAAAATACTCTTCAGTCATCGGGAATCAGCTGTTAGCATAGACATTAGCATGAATGTGCCAGAAATCAAGACCTCAGACTGTTTGTCCCCCCACATAAGGATGAGTGTATTTGTCAATGCCAAATATTTGGCATTGCTTTTTCACTTATTTTGCCAGTGTAAAGGTCGTTACACACCGGCGAATTACGTGAAAAAGCAATGCCAAATATTTGGCTTGCACCAGAAACAATGACGATAACATCCTCAAGTGATGATGACCTGGTCATGGTTGTAAGCCTATTAGATAACAAGAAAAAGAAGAATCAAAGTGTCTGGGTACATCCAATACTGACCTTGCGACAGGAGATGGGGGAGCTCCACACAACAAGCCAGGAGCTCAAATTGTATCCTGAGAAATTCAGACAATTCTTCGGGCAATTTCAGCCGGTGTGGAAGCTTGCATTGACTTTATGAAGTTTAAAAAAAAGCAGATTATTTGCTTCGCAACTTCACTTCGCTAATCCGCCGGTGTGCAAAGACCATCAGTCTTACAGTATGATCTTGACGTAAGTTGCACACATACTCATGTTCTTTTGTGTGTCTTTGTGTGTTTTGTGCAGATGATGACCTGGATGATCTTCTGGGAGAACTACCTGAGGACACCTACAGCCTCTGATATCATTTTCCTGATCGATTATTCTGCAGTTACTTGATTTATTTTCTCTCTGCTTTCTCACTCTAGAGTTTGTCTTTTTATATATGTTGTAAAGATGTTTTTGACACCCACTTCATTGACACAATAGAGAAGAGATCATTTGTGTGGCTGCTTTGTCGTTGCTTTACATCACTGATGATGGATAGATGACAGAATGCTGTAGTTACTTTCATCATTTATAAAGTACTGAACTCCAAGGATTAGCTCTCTCTTTCTCTCTCTCTCCCTCACTGGCTCAGGATTGTGTTTGTGTTGTGTATTTAGGATTTAGCCCCCTCTTCCTCTTCTTTACATTCTCATCCATCGTTGCACTTTCCTTCAGTGACTTTGAAAAGCAGGGCTCATCCGAACAGCATTGATTATCTAATTATGCAGAATGAAAACAAGATGAAGCGTCTGCGTCTTCCTCTCCGTTTTTTTGTCCTTGTCCTCTACTTTCAGTCCTCCAGCTGCAGCTGATAAACTCTAACCCCAGCCTGTTTGCCATGCATTAAGAGGTGTATCAGAGGGTTCCAGGCAGGGATTGCAGGGCAGCGGTCCCGTGTGATTTTACTGACCAAAATACTGTTTACCCAGCCCTGTCTGCAGAAAGCCAGAGCCATCAGGGTGCAGTCTCAGTGTGACTAACAGGCTCTTTACTGTATGGAGGCTTTCCCAATAGGATCTGAGACCCACATCCAGACTCCTTTACCACCTCTGCCTCACAGACTCAGGGTAATCCTCTACGCCTTTTTGCAGTTAGTGTTTAATCAGCCACTTAAACTGCCTGTTTGTGTCTTAAAGACAAAATATGGGAACAATATTGCATTTCTTTGTTTTTGCCTCGCTTCTGTTTCTCAAAAAAAAAAAAAAAAAATTACATTACTGACTGTAAATATTTGAACAGCGGGACATTTTCTGTTGTTTTGGCTGCATACTCCTGTCTGCTATATTGGTACTTAAATAACACTGTTCAGCCACTCTGTGGGTAAAGTGCTGCTGACTCCAGCCTCAAATTAAAGTCATATTCATTCTTTGTTTAGCTTGAAAAAATGTTTCCGTCTTTAATTTAAAGTTATTTTTTTAATTTACTGGTTTATTGCTTTTAAAACTCAGATCATCAAAATGTCCTCTCACTTCAGTGTTTTTGGTCTTGACCATCTCTAGGTGTAAAGTCTTTTAGGTTCATATTTCAGGAAATAAGAAAACATCTCACATACAACTTGTCAAGAACAGTCCTGCCCACTGTAAATAATCCACACCCCTGACCGTGAACAGTTTTCCCCCTAAAGCCACTTTGGTGAGGAGATAAGTGAAAACCGTTGTCAGCATGTTCGCTGGATTAGCCAGAGTAACTGGGACACTGTTTGTAGAAAGAGACATTTCTGTTGAATTTTTAAACTGTAATTTTTAAAAATGTTCAAAGCAGCACTATCCTCTGTTGGATCTGGATGGGAGCAGAAACCTCACATCCTGGAACATCCTGGACTGTAAAACAAAGACCCGGTGCAAATAGGCGTGCCGCACTCTCATTTAGATGGATCAACTTTGATTTGTCGTTTACGTCCAGTTGGAGTGAGCGAGGCTGAAACCTGAAAGCTGAAATCATCACAGTAACATTGCAGCCACTTGTTCAGTTTAAACCAAAAAACCTGTCAGAGGCTGAACGCATGATTTCTATTCAAACACAGTGTCCCTGTTCTGTGTTGTGTGTGGTATTAAACATGTTCTCACTAATGTTTGGCTAAGATAAGAAGCTAAAATCTATTTTTTTTAAGTCATATTACATTATCTTTGTCTAGGGTGGCCATTTCCACAACACCAAAAAGGAGGACACTTTGCGGCATTTAGTGAGGAAATTAAAATCACAACATACAACTCGAGTGTAATCCACATGACAATTCAGTTTTGTACATGATAATGATGGTATCATGATACAGCGATTCTGAGATACCCTGTTCATCACAAGACAATTATCTGTGATATATCATGATGTTTGTGTAACAGAAGAGGAAAAAATATTCCTGAGAAGGCGAAAAGTATTTGTTTTTATTCAGTGCATCCGTCTTGCAAAGTGCAGTGACACAAAGCAGAACATTTGCCATTAAATGTGCAAATTAAATTTACATGAAAATAAATAAATGCAAAAATACACGTTCAACAAGCATATAGAACTTTTTAAATGTAAACAACAAAAGGCAGTGAGAAAAACTTGACCAGCGTAACCGGCGTAAGGTCCAATTTTTTTCGGCATGTTAACATTTAGTTAACAAGTTGAGAGACACAGCTAACATAAGGGAACAGGGGGTGACTTGTTTACATTTTCAACCAATGAGGAATCAGAATGTGACACTGCTTTTAGCTAATCATTTTTAACGCCAAAAAGGAGGACAAATGCTTGAGGCTGCGCTGGATGCCAGCCAAGGCATTTACAGCCACCTTATCTTTGTTGGACCTTAGACACTTGGAGGAGGAGGTTGACAAAGAGAAGTGTTATGCATCAGGAACTCGAGAGGTGCTATAAGATCAAATGCACCGCTGCTTTAAATGCATATATTCCATAGTATATACAGTGTGGTACAAAAGTAAATCATATCCTCTTATTCATATCTTTGCTGGCTGTAGTTCAATATCCTAACGCTGTTGAGGTCATTCAGCGCTCTGCTGGATTAGTAAATGTGCAATATTTTTAGCGGTGCAAAGGATTGGGGGTCAGAGGAGCAAAGAAGCCTGCTGGCTTTTCATACAGTAAACTTTTGACTCAGCTGCATTTGGTTTCATCAAGTCTATTTCTGGCACTGCAACCCTTCACAGTAAGTTCTTTAAAGACCAAAAAGGTAAAAGTGAGCAGGAATAATGAAGTCAAGGTCAAGACGGGAAGAAATCATGTAAAAAAGAAAACAAACAAAAGCCTTTTTCTTAGTCCCTGAAAAACATTTTCCTTTTTTTTCATGTTCTGTTGACATTCTCATTTCTTCAGAGCTTTGTTTTGTCAATTTAAGAGAAAAAATAGATAATAGATTTAAATTCATGATGCAATTTTTTTCCTGCAATATCCTGTCTTGAGAAATTCGTAGCCATCTGGTCTTTAGGTGTCCTAAATCCCCTCAAATGAAATAATCATAGACAATAAGTCTCTCTTTAATTAAATTGCAAACAGCATCCCTCCACAGTCAGGCCATTAGCTGTGATGAGGGGTTACAAGGAAACCAGCCAGAAACGCTTGATAGCGCTGCTGAGTGTTTGCACATGTAGATTGATTTAACCATGCGCTTAAAGCCAGCAGGGGGTGACATTCAACACATGTGCTGGTGGTTGAGGTTTAAGAGGACATCATTAGTCAAGTTCATGAGGTCTTTAAGGCATCCAACCTCCTTTTAAGTGACCTGATGATAAAACTCATAATTGGAGGGAAAATTAATTTGACCTGAAAAAGGCTTTTTAAAACACTTTCTGCGAGTGAACAGAAGGCTTCTTCTTTTCTTTATCTGCACATCAACTAATTAGAACCACAAAAAGGGTGCGTTCAAGAAAGCACACATCACACTCTGGAACAACTTGCTCTTGAACGTCAGTCGCCTCCTTCAGAGGTAGCAATCAGCTGTGTCCACTGGCTGCAGCTCCGGTTCTTACACTTCCTAATTATCTCCTGTTAAGAGCCTATTATTTTTCATGATTCATTAAGAAACACTCAGTGAAATTACTTTCCCAGTGATTTATGTGGTAGAAAAAGTGCCTAATGACCCCCCTAAAAAAAGAGAGTCTGAAAAAGAATTGTAATCTCTGGTTTACTTGGGGCGTATGGCCCCGCGAGAGAATAGAAAACTTTCTCATCTCTGATGTTAAGTACAGCTAACTCTCTGAGATTTGAGGCCCAGAATATCCAACGACCATCTTTTTAAGAAGCTCAGCCTCTAGTGTCATGGTTGATGATGCACTAAAGGAGGAAAAATCCAACTTCTATGTAAAATTCTTGAAAAATGAGCAGAGATAAAAAGCAACATGGCCAATTCCTTGTTTGAGGCAAAATCTTTTTAAATCCTTTTAAAAATGCACTGAAAACTTTTTCATATTGGCAAGGGTTAGAGAATATAAGAAAAATTATTTCAAAGTAAAAGTTAAACACGATTAGCTTCTCTCTTTATATCTGATTAGTTTGTAGCTTCTCTTGAGGTTTTGATCAAATCACAGGATGTCTGGCAGACAGAGCTTTCCACAGAAAGCAGATTTTTCAATGTTCTGATTTTCATTCAAAATACATGAATAATATCTTGTCTCCACTGTCTGAAGCATTTCGCAAAACTTTTTCTGTGAAATAATTAAATAAACTTTTTAAGAAATCTTTGATCATATTGAAACACTTATCCTTAAACTGAAAGTCAACTTTTCTGATCCTATCTCTTCAAACCAACACTGCTCTCTTAGACAGGGTCTTCATATGTAGCCATTATTATGTGCCTCCACCCACATGCACAGTTTTAACTAAGGGGAAGTCCATCAGCCAATCACAATGTTGCATATCATTTAAAATAGACTGCAGTACAACCACAATCATTTCTCTTCAAGGTCACCTGAGGTGCTTCTCAAACTAGTCTCCTGTCTTCTGTCACTTAGGGTCTAGACAGGATCCTTGATTTGGCCTGGAGGCAGCGTGAGGCACATTTGAATACATAAATCATATTGTCAGAGTACATGTTTTGAGTTTTGGCTGTGTTTAAACATGAGACTTTATGACTTATATATATCAGAACAGACTTTTGTAAAAAGGAAAAACTCAAGTAGTAACTGGAGAAAACTTTGCAGAACATGCGCTTCATGTGTTAAAGCTGAGTTTAAACTCCAGTAACTATCTAATTCCAACCCAGGAATCCCAGAAAAACTCTCCTTCTGGCTGCTTTGATTGATTTTCTAATATGAGCAGCTTAAAGCGCCTTTGATGAGTTTATAACCAGATAGGAAACTAGGTGAAATTCATGCTGATGCCTCTTTAAGACCATCAAAAGTGAAGTATCACTGACATCAGAGAATCATATCTCATTTGAAGTCTCTGAAAATCTTGTAGCTCCATACTGTTGCAGTAGAAATTATTCTTCAGTGATGCAGACTCTTCTATTTCAAACCTTTTATTTTGATCATACATATATTGCTTGTGAAGTATCAAGGCTCTTATATTGTGATGTATAACCTGTCAGAAGAGGTGTAGGCTCAGTTGAGAGGCCATCTGCCATTTCAGCACCATGGACAGCACCACGATTCATCAATGCTGCATATTTTTTAATGTAAATTGGACAAACCTCAGTTATTAAAAAGATAAATGACTCAGGAAAGCTAAGTGATTATTTACTCAACTTTATCTAGTATTAGGGGAAAATAAGTGGTGAAGTATTTGCTTTGTCTTGAAGGGTGATTGCATTAACCTAATGCTCCCTAAAACTGCTAACTGGTTTCATCCAAAAATGTTTTTCCCATCTCTAGTTAACCATCCGCAAAATCAACTCCAAGATTGAAGCATTAGATGTTGAGCTTCGGTTTCTCAGACAGTGTCCCAGGATTTCCTTACATTTGTTTATCATTTGTAAGGATACATTCACTTTGTCTCCTCATAACCGTGTGACTAATTCTATGCTGTCTTTGTTAATCCAACTCAAAAAGGTAAATGAATGCCTGCACTCAAACTTTCGAGCTTTAGTATTAATACCCTTTAAATTCAAAGGGGGGGGGGGGGGGGTATATGGGAAGGCTAACAATAATCCGGAGGGTGGAAAAATGGGCTGGATGGATTAAAATAGATAAGATTGCCTGAGCATGGAGCCTTATTTTCAACTCTGGAGACTGTTAAATCCCTGTAAAACTACGCTCATTACCTCGGTGGAAAAAGGGGAGATTTGCTTAATTAAGTTGTTAAGAAACCAGTGAGCCCTGCAGCTGTCTGAGACCACAGCAAATTTCATTTGGGAGAAAGACTCTGTGATCGGCTGACGGTGTGTGTGGGTGTGGGCCTGCATTGTGTGTAAATGAGCGTGTGCTTGACAGAAAATTGAAAGACTCTTCAG